AATGATAAACGTGCTGCTTTAACTGAGTGGCAGAAGAACCCAAAGTCTCGAACCAAAGCTGATACCTTCCGCAAGTAAAAAGCGGCAACCCAGAGCGAACTTCTCAATCTAAAGAACGACTGGTTTGAAAATAAAGCATGTGAAATGCAAAACTTGAATACAGTATCAACAGAAGATGCGCAAATTTTTAAATTCCCCTAATACATTTTATGAGCCAATCACTCATGGCGCAGTCCCCCTCCGCTCATCCGATGGTAACTCCCTAATTAAAGACGAAGAAGGCCTCCTTCAGTGCTGGAAAGAGCACAACCATTCGCTGCTCAATCGAAACACTGATGTGAATGTCCTGACTACCCAGCAGGTCCATCAGCATCCAGAACTGACCTACCTCAGCTATCCTCCATCCCTGGATGTGGTTGCTACTACCATCAAACAGATGAAAAATAACAAAGCTTCAGGGCCTGATGGAATCCAGCCGAGGTGTATAAAGCTAGAGGACCTCTGATTACCAGCCATCTCTACCATGGAGGTATAAAGGGTGGAGGTGGCATGCCGCACGCACCCAGTACTGTCAAGTGAAGCCAATTCTCCCCGCATCGGCCATCATTGTGTAAGGGGGGGGGGGGACTCCGAAATCGTGTCCTTAGCTGTAGGGTAGTTGAAATTATCCACAAAGCCGCACATATATCGATCAGTGGTCCTGCCCACCCTACTATATGGTAGTGAGACATGGGTCACATACAAGAGGCACCTCAAGGCACTTGAAAACTTCACCAACGTAATCTACGTTCCATTCTCTGAGTTCGCTGGGAAGACAAGAGAACAAATGCCAGTAGTCTTACCAACACAAACTGTAGGAGCATAGAGGCTACCATTATCCATGAACAACTATGTTGGACTGGCCATGATATCCGCATGGACGACAGTAGAGTGCCAAAGAACTACTTTACAGTCCCCTAACTAATAGTAAACGTAAAGCCGGCGGGAAATTGAAAAGTTATAAGGATAGTCTCAAGACAAACCTGAAAAGGTGCCAAAGCGACCCCCTCACCTGGGAGTTGATTACTCCACATCGTAACACTTGGAGGAGCACCACACGAGAAGGTGTCAATACTTTCGCGTTAGCCCAACTTCAAACCGAGGCAGACAAGCGCCAATGTCGGAAAGACGCTGCCACCGCCCCTCCAACAATAGAGGAAGCCTTCCCCTATCTGTGCAACAAATGTGGACGACGCTGCGGGTCCCATATCGGCTTCTTTAGTCACCTCAAAACTCACTAACCTAGGTGACACCCCTAATAACTCATATCATTGTACTGTATCATAGCTGGATGGTCGTCATACTAGATTCCGAGTGACAGCAAAGTAGTAGTAGTGTGAAAATATATCCGTAAAAAAGGATTGCTTTACATCTAGTACACTTACATGTAAGCATTTATTTATATGAGTACATGTTTATTACTGGGATATTCCAGTGACTATCATATACGGGACAAAGTCATTGTCATTATTTCTACAACAAGAAAGATAAATGGAAATAAAATCATATACTGTATACAGCACTTCCTAATATAAAAATAAAATATCCTATGAGTGTTTTCTACTGTATATACTTCTCAGAGCAATTACCACACACCCAAGCAACATATTTCTCCTTATTGACTTCTTCATTTATGCTTTTTACTTGTTTTTCATTTCATTATTCCTATTCCCCACCTTGTGTAAACCAGAAGAGGCCACCTTTATTCTTTTCACAAATTCACGCTCCAGAATAAGGTACAGTACTGTACATGTACCTAGTAAGTCTTAACTGAGTATTTTACAAGTGACAGACCTGTGCTAGGTTGTCTACATTTGTAAGTGTGGTATGGGTCATTGGCTAAAATTTATTGAAGATTCTACATGTTACCATGTTTTAATGGTGAAACACATTACAGATTTTTAAAACATCAGTAGAGAGAGAATAAGTAAAGTAGGTTACTAAAATTATTTGTACTTGAAGATATATATTAAAACAAAAATAATTTTTTCACCTACATAATAGTAAATATTTTCTTTTAAAATAAAAGCACTGAACCTAAAAGTTTTGATAACTTCAATACTAGCATTAGAAAATCTTTTTAATATTTGAGATAATTTGTGTGATCATGTGAATATGGATACAATACCTTACAACAATACAGCTGTAATTCAAAATCCTGTAAAACATGTATCGTACTTGAGGGGATATCTTGGCTTAATTGTGTGTGTGGAAGCCCTACCATATTAAACAGTAGTTTCCTGTGATATTTCATATTCTTGGCCACAGTAGCATTTAGTAATGTACTGTACTTTACATTTTTAAGAGATGTGATAACATACCTTTAACAATTACAAGTACTGCTATAAAGAAGGAAGGCATACTTTTGTATTTTGAAAAGACAGTAATTATATAAGTTTTGACTCTGGCTCTTAGTATCACTACAAGGTAATATTTTTCATCTCAATATACTGTATATTATTTCTTGCAAAGATGGTTAAAAACATTCAGTCTTTTCTGAAGGAATTAAAGGTTATAATTTTGATACAAGTAAACAAAATACTGTAAGATACAGTACTATACTGCAGCTCTATAATCGAAAATATGCTCAGGTGCTAAGCTTATTTCAGTTTTAAAATTGGAACTAATTAAATAAAACACAAAGTGAAAATATTTAACAAATGGCAAAGGCTACTGGTTTCTCACTTAATTAAACAAACCCACTGTACCTAACCGTTCCCCACTCATTGTAGTAATGTGGCATTGTTGTGTATGCACTGCAGCTGTAAAACCTATACTGATAAGAGGAGTGCGTGCAGCAATCTAGTGAATACAGTGCTCACCTCCTGTCCTGGGGTCATTGGTTCAAGCCTAGGGCACTCCCAGTCCACCCAGCTGTAAATGGGTACTGTAACTAACTTTAAAAGTTGGGGTGTGTACAGTACAGTACTGTACCTACTTACACTAATGGCCAGTCATGCTTATGGGACCCATTTTCACCTCTTCATTTTCATTCGCCTATAAAACCATCACTGGTTAGCCTAAATTGGTTCCCTTGTTGCCATACAGGGAGTTGCAGGGAAATAATTGTATAGCTGTACAGTTGGCATGGTTAACCTACCTCAAATATTCAGGGGTGGATCCAGGATGGTGGGGTCCCGACCCCCCTTTTCATCAGAAAATTCCAATGCTTTTTCTTTAATGCAGTACTATTGTATTCAGGCATTTTTGTACAGTGAAATGTAATTGCTATTGACCTAATAATATCTCCAAATATCAAGTGCACATGGCCTCAAAATACCCAACTGGGTGTGTTCTCTGTGCTCACCATGGTCCACCACCCACAACTTCTTGGATCCCCCTTTTTATATTCCTGGATCTGCCCCTGATAATAGTATACTCTCCCATAAGCACCTATCTGATAGTTCATTTTCAATAAAGGGTATTTGCAAAACCTGCAATTATCATCTCTTATAAAGTAACATAGCCCAAATTGACTTGACCTATATAAACCCTTGCCAATACAAAGAAAATTCTTGAGTAATGAGAAGGCTTGTCAACATCTCCAAACTCTACTAAATTATAGGAAGGCTTGTACAAATGACTATACTTAACTAACCTATATAAAGGTTTGCTAACATGCAGTAGTTAAACTCCACTTGACCTAGTACTGCATTGTCTAGGGGACCAACTGACTGCACCTCAGTGGCATGATGAAGGAGGGCCTCAGGGTGGATGGGGTCCTTGGGTCACTGAGTGAGAGTCAAAGTCAACCTCAGGTGACTATCAAGTTACAACTGACTGTTGTGGGAATGTTAAAGAACAAACTTTACATTATGATAATGCCATATTTACCAGTTATGCATTTATTAGATATCAAACTTTACTCAATAACCCACTCAATAAAATGTAGAAGACAGCCCCCCCCCCCAAAAAAAACACCAACTCGTCTAAGCCAAAATTTGCCTGCCAACCAGACTCAAAACTACCCCAATTTGGCGTAAAAAACAGCAACCTGGTAACTCTGCGGATACCGTACAAGTTTTTATATACAATATACTATACAGTTAACCTTTTGGGGTAAACACAACACAAACATCAGACTCCTGGTCAAGAAATTTTACTGGATTAAACAACTTGTCATTCCAATGAACTTACCTCAATCCATTCAGCTTGATGTTGGCCATTTATACATTTTTATTTAATTTTTTTGCTAACCAATTCTGTACATTCCTTCATTGAGATTGATTGAATTAGATATTCCTGATGAAGTGGTCGAGAGGATACAAGTGTCTTTCGCACACAGCCCCTGAAAATTGATCAGGAGAACATCAAGATAGCTACAATTTCCACCAGCAGCTCTACACAAGGTTTTAGAAAACAGACTTGGACTGTACATCTACAAGGTGCAGATTGTGCAGCACTGAACTCAAATTACAAACCTAAATGGAAATCATTTGTGGAGGACATGCTGGCCAGAGTGGACACTGACAAAGAATTCCTCAACAGTCATGTTCTCAGATGAAGCAACATTACATGTACACTCACACCAAAAAGTATCGGTGCAGGGTGAGATCGACGAGTTCCGAAACGATACGTATACACTGTGATATGTTGGGAAGGTTGGTAAGTGTATCCTCATAAACCCCGCCCCCCCCTCCACTAGGTGTTGCCATATGGCTGACAATCAGGGCTGCCAACATATGGCTAGAACATCTCGCCTCTCCCAATACCTATCATCACTGATCTCAAATTGTTCACACTACAGTATGCAACGATACTTTTTGTTGCGAGTGTACAGTATCAGGGATGGTAAACTGGCATAATATTAGAATTTAGGGTTCAGAGAGTCCCCATGAGGTACTGGAAAAGCAAAGCAACAGCCCTAAAATTATCATCGCTGAGTGGTTCAAACAATATTTCATTTGATATCAGGCCACAATGGTTGGTTTTACTAAACAAGGTTAATTCATGTCATCTACTATCATAAATGCTTTATTTCTACAGCCTGACTGAGGGAACGTTATTGTTAAAACTAAGATGCTTTCTAAGATAATTTGATACATTATTTCCTTAAAATCACACTACAGTATAATTTATATTCACTTCTCTCCCATTGGAATTATATTCTTTGAATTACCAAAAATTGGCAACAAATAAGAGTGATATCCATCTCCATAACAATTACCAGAACTCATCATATTACTGAATTTGGATCTTCTTATGTCTGTGGAAAACAAGTCTGTTACTTACATAATTATCAATGAGACATCGGTTTGGGTAATACAGTGCTGCGCTTTACAACTACCTTTACCATAACAAATACTTCATCTTTGACAATTCTAGGGCATAAATCTTAATCCCAACAACACAAATATAAGGTTCCATATCCATGTCACTTAATTTATATGATTGTAGACACTGTAGTTAACAATTTGAGAAGTTATGCAGTCTCTGAATCACAATTCCACATTTTCTTGGAAATTTTAATGGTACTGTATCTTCACTGCATGTAAATTATATATTTGCTAAAGTAAGTGAATCTAAATCTTTTGTGTCTTTACTGGATGCACAAACATTGGCAGGTATGCTACTACAGTGTATTCATACAAGCAATGCTGATGTGGACTGGTTCAACATCAAACATGGAGGTTGGCTACCATTACCATGGAAATGGTAACCGTAGATACAACTGCAACCTAACAATTTAATAATGTGTTGAATATTTAAGTTATAGCTACAATATATGAGAAAATACATGTATCAAGTACAATACAACATCTACAGAGAACATACAGAGACAAGGAAGGCAACTTCCCATTGTATTAGAATAAAATATAATGCTTTTTTAAATAATGTATTACAATAAGGTATCAAGTTCATAACTAAGATAAAACATGTAAAACTAAGTTAAAATAGATACCATCTGTACCCTGATGCTATTCCCTTGATAATACAGAAAAATATATCCTCTTTACTTGACTGAGGTAATATGAGACTGAATAATAAAAAAAAACACGAAATTCCCAAGAACTTTCGTGTAATTCACATCTTCAGGGGTGAGTACAGTCTGTACTCACCCCTGACAGTGGCTATCCTTATACTGTGCTGTTCATTATAAGTGATGAGCTGCCCATACTGAGGTCCATTTCAAAGCACTCCTAATGCCATCTTGGTAACATTCTCTAAAATTATTAATCATAGTACAGTATCAATAACCCAAACCTAGAGAGCATAAACTAGATGCCCAAATTATATTAAACTATGATATACTGTAATACTGTACAGTGAACCCTCAACTCCTCAACTTCCACAGCCTCCAAGTTCATGATTTCTATATTTCAATATTAACCAATTTAGAACAAATTTCCAATTCTGCACAACCATGAAATAGAGGAATGGCTATGATATTTAACATTACAAAATGCATATAGACACACCTAGGCCATACCAACATTAAGGAAGTATATCACATGTTCCAATGTGATGAAGAAACATCATTGACTGACTCCAAATGTGAAAAAGATCTGGGTGTGTGTGTGGTCAAAATGAGCTTAAGTTTTCAGAACATTGTGAGAAGGTGAATCAAAGAAATAAACTACTAAGTCTCGTACAAAAATCGTACTCATACCTAAATGGTCTATCGCTCATATCACTGGTCCCTAAGATATGAGAAAAAAAAAGAAAAAAAGCCAGATGATTGAAAATGTCCATTGGAGGGCCAGCAAACTGGTGCTTCCACTCCGCACCTCAGATCGTTAGAGATTAGAATGCCTTCATTTGTTTAGTTTATACTGTTCAGACATCTAACTCACCAAGAGGTTAGAATGTTGACATTTGTCTAGTTTATACTACAGAAGGGAAAGGGACAATTAAAAGAAATTTCTAATCACCACAAGGGCATTATTCAGTCACATCTCTATATTCTGTTCTGTATATATGTGGAGTTAAAGAAGCTATCAGTAGAGAAAATTGCTAGGGCTAACTTCTTTGGAATAATAGTTGTGAACTCTTAAATAACCTGCTGGGCAGGGGTTGTGAGGATTGGCGAAAATCAATATAGAATATATTAATTCATGAGGTGATATAAATAACTGTTATATTTACAATATGGAAAGTAACTTTTCTTCAAGAATCAAATATGTTTTGACACTGCCATTCTATCTTGAATTAGTGTTAATGTAATACAATTCTATATTCAGTGTCTCAGAAATGAGGGTACAGGTCGATGGTCTGATAACTCGGGAGGTGCCTGGTAAGAAAAAGTTTGAGAACCCTTGTACTAGAGAATGTTGTGACAGCACCAAGTGAGAGCTCCTTAAGTCCAGACTTGACTAAATTTGAAACATGTTCAGGTACATTTAAGAACTTGTTCTGTCCCCCCAAAAATTAACGTTAGATATGGGGTAGATGTGATTCGAAACCTTCCAAGCAATGTTACTCGACCTGTTTCTGAAGGCATGGTAGTTCTAAATCCACAACCTTTCAGCATGAATGAGTATACAGTACACGTTTTTTAATGATACATACATTAATATAACTTAATGGAATTCTTGTTATATGTGTATCTAGTATGCCGTACAAGGACGGCTCCTTCCCCCAATCCTACCACCTTCTCTAACTGCTGTTAATATGGCAAGCAGGCATACCAACTTAAGATGATGCACTGGGGATCATATCAAAGAATTTTGTATACTTTTTCAAATTGCAGGGACAGAAAATCTGACGATACTTTTTGGAAGGGTTGTATATGCTAAATACTTGCCAACTGAGAATTGATTGACTACCCAATCAGCTAGTAAGCTATCAAATGGTAATGATGATAAAGTAAAGTAAAATAGAAATCATGACAAGGATGAATTTACAAAGATTTTCTGGAAGCTTCCGAGTTGATTCAAGAAAATTCATCACCAGAGGCATAATGAATCTCCAAATGGGGGGACAAAAGCGCCAAATTGGCAGTAGTAATTCCTAATTAGAACTTTCACAAACAGGCAATTCCACTCTTGATGTAGTTTTTTGCTTTGCTACAAATATTTTACTAAACATTTTGCAATGACTTCAAAGATTTATTCCTAGAATCTTGCCTTAGGTACAATCAAAATTGAAGAGAAGTCAGAATGCTGAGCAAGGTACTGCTGGTTGACTGCACTATATGCAAGAGTGCTACAGTACTTAACCACTGTAAAATACAGTATACTACTGTATTTATTAATTTTTTACTGTAGGGGCTATTTGTTTTCTTATTCATGTAGAATAGCATCTGATATACTAAATTCAATGATCCAGAATATTTGTTTATGGAAATGCTCATTGTGCTCTTTAATCCCATGAATTCTGATTGTTCCATTAAGGGAAATATTCTGGTACAAGAAGTACCACGTAAAGGGTAAAAAATATTTAGCCCCTGAAGTAAAAAATGGGTAAAAATAGTCTACAATCAATACTCATGTTATTATTAGCACCTAAATACATTGGCAGAGAGCATTAAGATTGCCATTGTCTCTGCATTATTTCTAAGAAATAGGAGACGAGTGAGGTTTAGTCTAAAAACTTGGATTTCTGTAAAAATTTACAACCAATCAGCAAGAAAGGCTTGAGACAGTGTGTGGTGAAGGGCTGACAGTGAGAATTCAGGACCCAGAACAATGCTCACTTTTCCTATAAGTTGTCAACATAATATTTTTGATGGACTCTTTACCTACAGAGGTGAGGGTTCACTGTACAATAATAACAACTACTGTACCTACGGGAATGATAATTTTATGGGAAAATAATTTAAACTACTTGTAATAGCTAAACTTGATGAGACAGTAAATCTGTTGTCTTGGCTGAAGCTTCCTTCATTACAGAGTTTGTTGATGCACTGACAGCACCAGGCATAGTGCACATAGCAGTAAGAGGTCGGCGTTCATACTGTCTACGATGCATTTCATCAACACGAGTTAAATACCAGGTACCTGGGAAAAGCGCCTCAATGCTTCCCACTGGCATATACAGCGCTGCAGTGGAAGATGATAAGAATACAAGTTAACATGTATGTACTGTACCACAAACTACATTTATACTTTTAAACCTCAAATTTACTAATAGTTCAACATTATTGACACTTAACCAATAATTAGTCATTTAGGCTGCTATTTTATTTAAGGATGTTTTCTCTTGCATACAAGTTAATCATTAATACAGTACCTGCAAATATAGTGATAACATTTAGCATGAACTATAAAATATAGACTGTTGACCAACTGAAGCCCAACGTTTTACCAATGTGTTTCGCCTTTTTCAGATGGTTTAATTACATCAACTTTCACTTCCATTGTAATTGTTTTTCTTTTCTTAGATGCGCTACTATCACTTGCATCAGGAGTGCATTTGGGAGCCATGATGAGGACAAATAGAGTTAATCATAAAAAAAGTTTGCACTTGGTCACACACGTTAATGCAGTATGGGTAATGCATACTGACACTCCCTCAAGGCACGTGGCTGGGTGACGCATTACTCCCCATGCCTCGCCACTGCACCACGCAAACTAGTTCTCATACGTTAATACTATGAACCAGTTGTACCTATGTCGGATTCTTAAAATAAACGACCTTATGGGACCTCATTCGTGTTGGCGGGTGTTCGTAAGTCGGGGACCCCCTGTACCTGTAATACAGTCCAGAAAACTGAGGGAAAGCTGAACATTGGCTGGAAATTCAAGCAGCCCAAACTGTTATTGTTGTTGTGGAACTGCTGGCGCCTTTATGGTACCACAGATGCATCCACACGAAATGATTATTAAAATTTGCGTAAAAATTTTGATTAAAAATATTGATTATGGGGTGATTTTTTTTTTTAAATTAGATAAGGGCGGATTTTCTTTCCGTAACCTGAAATTATGTTCATAATTTCAAAATTCCGTAAGGGCAAAATACCGCAATGCGGAGGATGCCTGTATGTACTAGGATTAGGGAAGGTCACAATTCTTTACGAGAAGCGAAAAGGCAGACTAAAGTAAGAAATGTTGATACTGGTGTCTATAAAATCAGTTCTAATTAAGTTAGAAACACCATTTTATTACCCAAATGACCCTGAATATTTTTTCTACAAGTTTAAACAAATATATTAAAAAAAATCTATATGATATAGCCATGAATGGAGTTACATGTCACAACCAAATCAGTTGAATTTTCCACCACGCACTGGGGAAAATTTTCCAGGGTCTTAATGACACTTCTCGCAGTGAGCTGTATTTATTTATTCAACACCACTGTACACATACAATACTTTAAATTGTAAATAAACAAAATAATGTATACCGTACTACAGGTACTCCTCGACTTACGACCAACTTGACATATGACCACCCGGACATACGACCGCCGCAGTCGTACCAAAACATTTTCAAATTATGTACGTATTTTCCAGTAGCGAAATGTTTCCATCCCGTACGAAAGCGTGGCGTGGGCTGGGCCACCTTGTGGTGTACAGTGTCCCCGCCATAGCGCGCTTTGTTGGTGTTTGGCCGTCGTTGCTGTCGGTAGTGATCGCGCTGTGTACTGACAATATTTTAAAGATTTTCGGTTCAAAATTCCATTCAAAATGACTGGCAAGCGTAAAAGTGAGAGTTCTGGTGGTGCTCAGAAGAAACAAATGGCAGAGGCATTTGCTACTATTAATATGGGGATGCAATGTTTGACAAAATGGATCAAAATGTTGAGCGTTTTGCAAAAGTTGACAGAATTATCCAAGATGCACTTGCTTGCTACAGGGAGATTTACAATGAAAAGAAAAGGCAAATTGTGCAGTCTAAATTTGGACATATATTTTAAGAAGTCCCCCACTGCTGTCTCCTCACGCCCCACCAGTGCTGCCTCTTCACTCCCTAAAGATGATCCAATACCTTTAACAAGCAAGTATGTTGGCCTGTCTGAAGAAAGTGACATTCATGACCCACCCAGCCCTGTCTCCTCCTCTGCTTCATCCAATTAATGTAGTCTCCATGTTTAATTAAAAAATTATTGGGGCCCCGTGTGCATTCAGCTGACTACATTAAAGGTAAATGCACAGTAACACTTTATTCATTTTTCATTATTGATTTCTTTTACTGTACAGTGATCCCTCGGTTAACGAGCGCCTCGGTTAACGAGCGCCTCGGTTAACGAGCGCCTTGGTTAACGATTTACCTTCCATAAGATTCTTAACTTCGGTTAACGAGAAATCCCTCGATTAACGAGTTTTTTACGAGCCGACTTGAACATGTTTTTGCTTGCATTTGGCGGTCCACCAGCTGTAGTATTAGTCCGCCAATACAGTAATCGGTTTTAGGGCTTAAATTCCTTACTATTTTAGTAAATATCAAGAAATTTATACTATTCAATAATTTTAAAAGTTTTAATATTAACTTTTTTAGTCATTTTAACAATTATTGAACATAATTGAAGGTAAAGAAACTAGTTTCTGGCGTGCCATCCAGCCTGTTAACACACCAGACAGGCGTTAGTCTCTCTCTGTTTTCAGTGGAGGTAACATCTTGCTTGAGACTCTCATCAACTAAACGCTTTTTTTCTGTGTTTCCAAGCAAATTATTGGTCATTTTGAAATTTATTTTACACATTGACAATATATAATGCAGTGCAGTGTTGATTTAAAGAAAATAATCTTGAATTACACCAAGAGAACTAAAATTTTATGGGTGAAATGGTGCCATGGGGTGACTTCTCTTTCACCCCAATGCCTTCTCTTCTCCCTTCTCGTCCACCCCCATTCTAATTCCCATCATCATCATCATCATCATCATCATCCAGGAGCCTTCTACATACACACCTCAAAGTAAGTGTACTTTTCTACCTTTTTTGTTGTATTTAGGCAATTTTCGGTGAGCTGGAACCAATTACCCAAAAACCCATTGAAACAATGGTTTCGGTTAACGAGTTTTTCGGTTAACGAGCAACCTGATGGAACGGATTGTGCTGGTTAACCGAGGGACCACTGTACTGTATTTCATTTTAGATTTTCTATGTATTATTTTTTGCATTTTCGACTTACGGCCAATTCGACTTACAACCTGGATTTGGGTCCCTAACCCTGTCGTAAGTCGGGGACTGACTGTACTACTGTACTGTATATACTGTACTCGCCAGCAGATGCTGTCATCTTGAGCCTACAGTAGGTATACTGTCCACTCTGCTGAATGTAAAATGTAAATGTAATCACTTTTTACTTCTTAACACTTGTGATGGAGGTGGGGTAGGGGATTAGCGGGACTCACGTTACTGACCTGACCTGATGCACTGTCAGGTCGCCCATTGTCGGAGTGGAGGATTAGTGGGTCTCATGACCTGAAGAATGATGTCTTGAATAAAGATAAAAGCTAAGGTACTTCATTGTTTCCCCTTTCTTGTACTTATGGCACTTTCACACTTACTGAATGTACAGTACAGTACATGTAACTGTAATCATTTCTACATCCTAACACTCATGGGTTTGGGTAGGCACTCTCCCAAGAAACACTTGGGGTCTGGACTGTTACTCATCTCACTGCACCACGCGAGAGATAATTGTACGTAATGAGTCATAGCTAGCTTGCTACTTGAGATAAAAAGGTAAATAAATTATCTACAAATAATTTTATATGAGTAATCCTGATAAAATAAGTATTTCTATAGGTAAGCACGAATACAACACAAAACTTTTGTTTACGCTTAATGAAAATATTTACACATCACTTTATACCTTCGTTAAGTAAAGTGGTTGCTTAAGAACCTTATTCCATTATAAAGTGCACATATTTATGAAAAAATAGTTATAAAAGAAAATTTATGAAAAATTAGATATTTCGTTAGGAAATAGTGATGTAAATTTTGCGTTCTGATAAGTGTGCCCAGGTCAAGTACAGATTATTAATGTTTTCCCTTTGTGTGCAAATGATAATTGTACATACAGTCTTGAGTCATAGCACTAGGATTGCTTGTTGAAGGACCAAACATACTACCACTTATGCTAGAAGGGCCAGACAAACTACCACTTATGCTAGAAGGGCCAGACAAACTACCACTTATGCTAGAAGGGCCAGACAAACTACCACTTATGCTAGAAGGGCCAGACAAACTACCACTTATGCTAGAAGGGCCAGACAAACTACCACTTACGCTAGAAGGGCCAGACAAACTACCACGTATGCTAGAAGTGTCATGGTCACGTTGACTGCTGATCTATTTAACTAATGATTCTTATTAAACTCCACGCCCGCAAAACATGAGTGAGTCCGCGACCTCTGGAAGGAGCGTGTTTACCCCGCGATCTCTCCCAGTAAGCCCCGCCTTTGTGAAGACAGTTATCAATACGTTGTTTATTCCACTTTATCCTGGGAAGCTCAATCTTGAATTAGTCTGTGTAAATCAACCCAAGTAATTCGCCAGACCTTTGTCAACTGAGGGTCATCTTTGAATGAGTAACAGTTAGTTTGTGATTATTGTCATTGCGTGAGTAGCGATCACTGGCAACTCAGGGGTATATAAACTCAAGATGGCCAGGGAGAGCGTCCCCTGATGCTGCCCCGTTTGTCTCCAGGTATGTTCCGTGTTCCCTAGCCATTCAGTTAATTCAGTCAATTGTAGTGAATATCAGTGTTCACCAGTGTTCATGATTTAACAGTTGAATTGTCATTCACCCAGTGTGGAAGTAATATAACGTAAATACGTCTGTCGTCTAGACAAGAGAGTTTGTTGGTGCTGTCATGTTTCTCAGTCCCCTGACGCTGCCCCGTTTGTCTCCAGATCCCATTGTGATTCTTGAATCGCTCTACCATCCAACAACGGCCTCGGATGTATTAGATGTCCAGCCGGGATCATATATGAGAAGATGGCACCGATGCGGCCTGATTAATGTGCCCCACGGCTTCGTTGGGCCAGACCCCAGACCCGCCATGTGTCTGGCTACCCCACAATAACAACAGCCCCAGTGCTCTACCCTGGGTTACTCCTTGGAAGTGAATGTCCAGAGAGTGGTGTAACATGTATGTGAGGGATAATTAGTTGGAAATAATTATCCCATGTTGGGTAGTGGACCCCTGCATATACTAGGGTCATTGTTTACGTATATGTTGAATAATCTACAAGAGTGCCATGTAATGTACCACCAGTAATGGTGTGAGTAAGAGTAAAGAAGAAGGAACTGAGTTTGCACTAAGCCCAGGAGGTGAACCGGGTAATTATATGATTAATACAATATCTTTCCCCCATTGATTGCATATTAATAAACTTGTTTTTAGAGTACTGTAGGTGTATTCATTTCTCCCACAGTATTTTACCTTTATTTCCATCCAAGTGACCTGATACCAAAATTACCATACTCACGTGCCTAGACCCTCAACCATGCTACCAAAAGAATGCCCAGGCTACCAAAAGAATGTCCATGCTACCAAAGAATAGGTGACGGAACTGAGTAAGAGTAAGAACTAGGCCCAAATTACCAAAGAGATCTTCCCACCCACATACCTAGCAAGTGAGGACATGGCTGAGCATGCTATAATCTTTTGTAACTCCTGGAACATTCGTCCTCAGGTCTGTAGCAGAAAAGTCATGAGAAATTTTCTCATAATTTTACTGGATATCGTGCATTATTTCATCCTTGGAATTTGTTCCCAGGCTCAGAAAAAGAAAGGTTTGGAGAGATTTTTCAAAATTTTCTAAAAAAAAATTCCAGAAATGCGGCCGATTTTCAACCTCGGTAAAGTCTTTCGCAGACCTAAAAATGAAAACAAAAATTCCAGGCTGATTTTAATTCCAGCTATTGAAGAGTTCTGGGAACTGGGGAGATTACTGAACCATATTAATTATGAATAATAAACTTATATCTATTCCATAGAAGACTTAAGGTTAATACACAATGCACAACAGTAACAAATAAAAGTGTAAACACCTCACCTTTGTGATGAGTATCCTGCCGTAACTTCATCATCTCGGCAAATACTGTGGGAGGAACCTTAGTCCGTGCATCAAGCCTGATGCTCAGATCTGATAGAGAAGCAACGAGCTGGGAAAGTGAAGAGTCAGGTCCTGTGTCTTCCGATATACGCAGTGAAAACATTGTAGCAGCCAACCCAGAGCCATATGAAAACATGGCTACTCGTTTGCCTGCCAGATTCTCAGCTGAGTTACTGTGAGAAAGAAATCAAGTGTTAATGCCATTATATGTACTGTACTGTATAATCATAGTGTTTCCTCACTAAATAATACATACTCATTTCCAACAAGTATACTGTAAACCCTCCTTAATTCAGAATAATAGGAGCTCTACCCCACCACAATTGTACAGTGTTAGTACACTTCTCACATCTGACATGGGCCAAAGATTGAACCCAAGACACAGTGGTGAGAGAAACATTGGTTACAGCAGCTGTACTTTACATGTTTAACACTCCAGTTACAAGGAGTGTATAAATTCATTTTCAAATATCTAAAAATCTAGTTGGTTTCATTTGAATAAAAATGAATTATTACAATAAATACTTTTGTTTAAAACGAATTGTGCAGGAGCAAATGAGATGAGAAAACAGTACAAATGTACAGTCCCCCCAAAAAGTATCGTTAGCCATGGGTCTATGTTTGTCTTTGGTACCCCCAAAATGTTCTACACTACTGAGGGTATACACAAACACTTGTTATCTTGAAAATAGGTTCTTATTCTCGTACGGGAGATGAATACAGATGGACAAAGAAGCTCGCTTCCACACCATAAGGACTGGTGATCTTCACTCTCTGTATTACTCCGCACTGGCATGTACAGATGCCAGCATTCACAAGCTAAATACATAAAATGTAAATATGGTAATTCACATACATAACATGGTGCATAATAAATGGAAATATTACATAGGATTAATACATGTTCTGTAATACTTTACTATACATAATTAATAGAGTAATATAAGAATACACAGCTTAAGGTACTACTTCGTGTCCATATTATACAATGGGGTCAATGTGATTTGAGGCTTTCCAAACAATGTCACTGTCCTCTTCCAAATTCACACCTTATGGTCACACATGTTAACTGTGAATTTATTTAGGGTTAATAACAAATTACTTTCACTCATTACCAAAAAGATTTTTTATTATAAAATTGCTGCCTTCAGTACCAACTAGAAACGTTCACCAGCATCCACCCTTATGTGACGCTATGTTGAGACAGCTGCACAACCACATATTTCAACTTGTGTGATAAAGTTACCTGTACATGGGGCCCCCCCCCAAGTTTGCAGATTTTTATTTTGAGGTCTTCTATTATTCGTGGATGACACCCTGGATGTACCCAAGATTGTCTGTGGGCAGTTTTAAAGTTGCCGGCATTTTTGCGGCTGGGACAGGGAGCCATTCGTTCTAGACAGTAATTCCCTCAAGTCCGTTCTTTATTACTCTATTAAGAGAGCAGGGACTTGAGAGTAGACTGTCACATTTTTAATAAATTTGTTTGATTATTTGTGAGAGTATTTCCCATTATTATTTATGTTTAAGTGTTTTGTGTGTGTCCACACACACAGATATACAGTCTCTCCTCGACTTACGACGGGGTTCCGTCCCGACGACCAGGTCGTGAGTTGAATTGGTCATGTCAAAAAGGTGAAAATAATACATAAAATTTTTTAAATGGGTGTCTCTTTTTCTTCTCAACACCACGAGACCTCTCACTTTTATGCTTGCCAGCCATTTTAAAGGGAATTACAAACGAAAAATTTGTCAGTACACAGCGAGATCACTAATGTTGGGACTTGAAAATACATAATGTGTAAAATATTTTATACGACCATGGCAGTCGTATGTCCGGGTTGTCGTAAGTCGAATATGTTGTAAGTCGAGGAGAGACTGTATACATCCTTGACCACTGAAGGGTCTAGACATACAGTAGAACGTTGATATAACACGAGATACATTCCAAGAGAGGTCGCTTTAAACCGAATTCGCACTAAATCGAAGTGTTGTTTCAATGGAATAATTTAGTTTGGTACTTGAGAGAAACAAAATACTAAAAAGACTGAGAGTCTACCCAAATGAACCTCAGCCCATCTCCTATAATAAACAAAACATTGTTTTTCGTAGTATTATGTTAAAACAAACACTCATAAATCAACACAGCTAAAATTATGGAAGTGAAATGGTCTGTTTACTAGCGATCAGCTGATGTGAAGATTGGGGGGGGGTAAGGTGATATGTTAGACAGTTGATGCCAAGGTCTAGTGCTTATTTATTTATCTGTCCTTCAGAGTGTCTTTAAGTTATTCTCTTATAAAATGCACTGAACTGACATGTTTTAATTAATTTGATTACAAAGGGCTAAAATTTATCTCTTGTGCAAAATATATGACGTTTATATTCAAATTATTCGCTGTCTTGCAAGGATTCTAGCAATGCAAATTATATTATGCTAACTTTAGTCTGTGATATTATGTAAGAAAAAAACTAAGCGTATAACCACCCAACACTGGCTGGGAAGATGTAGGGGGGAGAGGTGACAGTGACATGTTTGACAGTTGGTGCCGAAGGTCTAGTGAAGTATTTATTTGTTTATTTATGTCCTTTAGATGGAATTTTTGTTTTTTGTTTATAAAATATCACAGAAGTGAACGGGGAGAATATAATTTACATTGCTGGAATTCTTATAACATAGTGATTAGTTTGAATATAATCATGCCACAGTTTGCACTGAACAAAAATTTTATTAATCATTTAGTGCATTATTTTGAGTACATGTACAGTACAGCTTTGCCCTTAGGACAGTGTAGCGTGCCCAGAGAAACATTAGGCGCGAATTTTAAAATATGACGCGCCAGATTGACTCGCGCAAAATAGGAATGATTCGCTTTAAATTAAAACATTGTCCTTAATTGTGGGTGTCGCTTTAAATCACATATTTAGATACAAAAAACAAAAACAGAACTGAAATTTCAGATTCTCACCATGAAATATAAGACGCTAGCCCTCCATACACAGAGGGTGTGTACATATTGCCAACCTGTGTAGCAATAACTAATGATGGCTTTGTCTTGGCTTGAAAGATTCCTTCGCTGTAATTCATAAAGGTCTTCTCAACATCCCGGTCAAAGTAAGTGTCTTCAAGCTTCTTTTCCCTAAAAAATATTGAAAACAATTGTTAATCAGAAAATATAACAAGACACCTACTAAAAATAAAATATGTTACTACAAATATACAGGTTGAAGCTACCATATCCGGTAACCATGTGACCAGCTCTGAGCCGAATATAGGATTGATTGATTCATTCATTCATTGTAGTAATTACATCCTTGGCGATGCAACAGCTTACCCAGTAGGTCGTATGTCACCGAATTAAAATTGAGGCTTAAAGCCGAATATAGGAAATTACCATTAATTAAGGCGTATTTTGTATGGACATGTAACAGGTTATCGTTACCTTGTATAGTATACCTGTACCTGTATATAAACACACCTCGGATCAAAAGACTTATGCAACAGAGAGACAGAGCCTTTTATCTCAATGACCACAACCGCTACAGGTCCCCTCGCAACCGAGATCATCCGCAAAATATGCACTGCAAAGAAGTCTCACTACCCAACCAAATTGCAACACCTGAAGCAGACCAACATCAGTCAGTGGTTTGGTAAGCTTAAAGAACTCTGTGGACTAAACAATAAGACACACCCCCTCCCCTTCCTTAGCCATCTCACTAATGTTGATGCAGCAGAGCAATCAAATAACCATTTCGCTACTATATGCCAGGCGCTCCCCCAGCTTAACACAACCAATCTCCCTGCTTACCTACCAGCCCCCTTTCCCACTGACTTAGTAGAAGAATTTGAAGTAGCAAAACGTCTGGAAAAAATTAAGTTAAAACGCTCCACCACCCCTATTGACTTACCAACGAAACTCTTCAAGGAGTTCTCCCCGGAGCTTGCTAAACCCCTCTGCTCCATCATCAATGCTTCCCTCAGTCAAGCCAGATGCCCAGCTGACTGGAAGACTTCATATGTGCCACCAGTGCCCAAGTCAACCAGCCCACAATCCATAAATCAGCTACGACCCATTGCAATCACCCAATACCCAGCTTAATCTGTGAAAGTTTTGTGTTCAACTGGGCATATGCTGATATTGCAGGAGCCGTAGATCCTCAGCAATTTGGTAATATGAAAACTTCCTCCACCACCAACTGTCTTGTCAGCTTTCTCGACTACATATACCGCCATCTGGAGAAACGAAAAACGTCTGTAACTGTCGCCTTCATTGGCTTCACCAAGGCATTCGACCTAGTCAACCACAATTTAATCATTAACAAAGCTATCGACCTTGGGTTTCGAAGACGTTTTATACCATGGCTTACAGACTTCCTCAGTAACCGACGCCAAGCTGTACGCTTCCGAGGGGCTGTCTCCACCTTTCAGTCCGCCAAGGCACGAAGATGGGACCACTATGCTTCCTTATGGTTATCAATGATGCCCAAAGAGAAACCCCCGCTCGCTGGAAATATGTCGACGACTCCACCATCGGGATCAGCGTCAACAATTCTGCTCCCGACTATACCGCCCTTCAGGATTTATTCAAGTCTCCAAAACTGGGTCACCAACCACCACGTCACCATCAACCATACCAAGACCATGGTTATGCACATCAACCTCTCCTCCGACGTTGTCCCACCCCCTTCCATTATTTTAGGCCCAAACACACTCCAGGTTGTAGATTCCACTAAGCTCCTCGGCATCACCATAGACAACAAACTAAATTGGAAACCATACATCAGTGAAGTTGTCAAATCCTCCAATTTCCGTCTCCACCTCCTCCGCCGACTCAAGTCCTTCGGAGTTCCTGCACCCTAGCTCCTCAGTGTTTACTCAACATTCATACTTCTCAAGCTCACCTACGCCTCCCCTACCTGGTCTTCCTCCCCCTAAATGCCACACAATGTAAACACCTAGAAAAAGTGCAAAAGAGGGCATGCAAGATTATTCTCTCCCCTTCCTACTCCACATATCAAGAAGAGCTCAACACACTGACCCTCTCGGCTCTCACTGACCATCACCACGATCTCATCTGCAAATTTGGTGAGAAGCTTCTGCACCATCCTTGACACCGGCTCCTACTACCACCGGAGATCCCTCTCCCAAGAATTGCTGTTCGACACCACAACGGCATCCAGCCCATACGAGCACGAACTGATCACTATAAGAACAGCCCAGTCCCAACCATTATAAAAATTATCAATAACTTGTAATCAACCAGTGTATTCACTCCCAGTCAATCTTACTTTATGCACTGTCACTATGTTGAAATAACCCGTAGTTTGAGCTTCTCCCCACCTAGTTATTATATATCATATTTGTATCACTGATGATATTTGTATGTTATTTGTAAATCAAGAGACCCATTCCCCAATTATGTAACTTTATATTTTCAGCCTTCCGGCTGCCATGCTCTTTCAATAAACAGTTAATTATTATTATTATTATTATTATTATTATTATTATTATTATTATTATTATTAATATTAATATTACATTTGGGAGCCATGGTGCAGTTTAATAAGGGTAGAATAAAAGTGTAGGACTTAAATAAGCACATCACCACCCTCAGCTGTGAATTCAAACAAACGTATTGAATGGCTGGAGCGATTAGAGCACCAACAAGACTTTAGCAGCCAACCGACATACTGTAACTACAAGATGCAGCTGCTTGATGTGAGGTTTGCTTGGTAGTACAGCTGGATAGTACTGTAGGTAAAGGAATTTCTGAATATAATGCAATTTTTTTTAAGAGTTGCCATATGTTAGAATTCTGGATATGGGAGCTTCAACCTGTAATATTATTACTACATACACCATTTCCATATTATCTAAATACACTTAGTTATTGCTGTAAACACAATCAGTCCAATGTTCATTTCCATAGTGTTTGTGAACACTTAGTTCATTTCTCTATAGAGAAATACGGGACTATTTCGCCTGGCGCATGAATATTGTTGTACCGCGACCCACAACAAGAGCGTCAGGCGCCATCTTTGTCTCATTGTGTAGCCAGTGCACCACTGTTATTGTTGAAATTTCGTCTTTTGATGTGGAAATTCGCGTTATTTGTATAACTATTTTGTTATACAAGTATACAATTGTAACAATGAGTCGTCCAAAGCGAGTGAGAAAGCTAATAACCCTTGAAACTTAGAAAGAAATTGTAAAGAAACGTGAGAATGGAAGAAGCATTGCGAAACTTAGTGATGAATATGGGATGGCTAAATCGACTATATGTACGATTTTGAAGAATAAAGAGGAGTTAAAAACTGTGCAAGTGGCTAAGGGAATCTTTAGACTTAGCAAAGCAAAGTGTAATGTGATTGAAGAGATGGAAAATTTACTCTTAGTGTGGATAAAGGAGAAAGAAATGGCAGGTGGTAACATTAGTGAAGCTATAATTTGTGAGAAGGCTAAACAATTGTTTGAGGACCTTAAAGCCAAGACTCCCAGTGGAAGTGATAGTGATGTGCCAGTGTTTAGGGGTACCTGCATGCTGAATAACACTAAGGTAAGATAAAGTACCGTATTTTTTACATTTTCCACAGAATTTTTTCAGTGTTAAGTGGTTGTATTTGGGGGCCTGGAACGGATTAATCCTATAACGAACAAATGCTATAACGAACGAGGTTCTGGAACCAATTACGTTCGTTATAGCATACCCCACTGTATATATATATTTTTTTTTTTTTTTATGTACTACACCACCAAGATGCTGGAAAACTCGCTTTTTGAAGTGAGACATAGTATGAGTATCAAAACACAGAAAGCAGAGCATTCCACAGTTTGGCTGTGTGAGGAAAGAAGGAGGTACTACAGTGGGGTATGCTATAACGAATGGATTCTACTACGAATATTCCTATAACGAACGGTTTTACCTGTAAAACTGAGAATGCTATTACGAACGAAACTCCTACAACGAATTTTTCTTTTTCTTTTTTTTTTACTAATTTATTGTTTTTTTTATCACAAGTATTACTGATATTCTTTATTTCTGGGGTTTAGATGCATATTTATGCACTTTTACAATTTTTACAATTTATATTATATTTTTCAGTGTTAAGTGGCTGTATTTCGGGGCCTGGAACGGATTAATCCTATAACGAACAAGGTTCTAGAACCAATTAGATTCGTTATAGCATACCCCACTGTATAGCGGGTTATTCTAGCGTGACCAACAGCCACAGAGAAATGGTGGGCACTACAGGCAAGACGAGTGTTATGAGCCCACGGCCTTGCCGGCGGTACACAGAATGCCAGATCCACCAAACATTGCCTGTTAAAGTACCTGTAAATGAGAGAGTGAAGCAACATTGCAGCGAATAGAAAGGGAAGAGAAATTATCAACTAAAAGAGGAGAGTTAATAAGATGAGATGCCTTTGATTCCACCCTATCTAACAGTTGGACAGAAAAACAGCCACCCCAGATATGAGAGCAGTACTCCAAGTTAGGATGGATGAATCACTTATAAGCTTGAAACAACTGCTCAAAATAATAAGTTTAGCAAATAAAAACAATCACAATTTATAGTTTTGGAGATAATTCAAGTTATCCCCAAGAGATTTTTCCTGCGAATTGATGGCAGGGATATGCGAGAGGATAGCACCTCCTCAGGACGCCAAAACAGATAAGCACCAACGCTTATAAGAGCTACCGTACATCAACCCTTGCTTGAGCCAGATGAACCTCTGAGGAGAACAAGGGCCTGCTAACTACTAGATGTTCCTGTAACTTCTACCAACTAAAGTCTAAACAATACATGTACATCAATTCAGATTACAGTATTTTAATTGTACATCTCAAGACTTGAAAGTCATCATGACATAACTCATTCCAAGTAGCACTTGTGGTCCAAATGATATTTTGTCTCTACCATCTATAAAGTAAGGAATATTCAGTTGGAATAATGTTTTGGCCAACACATCTCATGATAGTGTAAGTTGACTCAGGTTATAACATATATATTGAGGTATGTGGAATGAAGTAATGTACAGTGCCAGAGAAATTTTAATCCCAGACTTGGAAAGACAATTAATATTTGTCAATAAACCTTATGAAATGACAAACTTAAAGCCTAAAACAATATTATTTCACCAATTTTACAAACAATTGTTGTAGTTCCTAATAAAAAAAATCCCTTATTTGGCACAACTAGAAGTAAAAAAGCAAGACTGTAAGAGAGCCAGTCCCTAGATATGCACTCGATATTTATTTGGCTTGAATATGAATCAATATGATGGAATTACTCCTGAACAAGATGGCTACTCTCTAGAGAACAAATATTGCACCTGATCTACTACATTTTTACTAATAAGTGTGATGGGGTGGTGAGAATGATTGGTGTACCTATTTTGATTCAATCCTTAGCTAAATATTTGTGGGTTGTCTAAAGATAATAATATCCCAAACTGGCAGTCTGTATTACATGAAATTGCCTAGCAAAGTATATAATCCAGAAATATTTACACAATATATTTCTAATTTTTTAAATGAACTTGCAAAGGCACATATGAACTAATTTAATCAAACCATAAAAAAAGAAACTATTTTAATCCTTGTCAAATAAACCATTACTACCTTACCGATATGCCTCAAGTCCAGGGTATTTTGAAGATATCTGTTCAGCTGGGGTGTTAAGGAAATCGTTGAAAGCTAATCGAGCAAGAGACTTCCGCACCAATTTACAGAACGGAGAATGGAAGATAACAGCCTGAAGCTGGTCCAGACACATAGGTGGTATCGAGGCTGTGGACAAATGAACATAATTAGTACTGTATTAACAGTAGATGAGAAGGGAGCCCTTCCCTAAATAAAGCCAAATTTCAATGTTTTCCCAAAGCTATTTCGTGCTAAATGCAGAGCGGCCAAAATCAGGAGCAAATACACACACATACATAATCTCCTTTAATTAATCAATTATTAATTCTTGCTACTGTAAGATACATCCATGTGATATTACCCATCTCTGTACACAACCCAATGTCACCCATCAGCACCATATCCTTCCCAAAAATTACTTGATACAGGTATTAGGCTCTGCTCATTCATGCACTCTGCTGCTCCATAGAAGTCCATCTTACAAATTTCTATTGTGTTACTCACACTATCCTTCCTATCTCCTTGGATTTTGCTTCTCCCTACCATCCACTTATAAATTATTATTTTCTTTTATCAATTACAGTGGGGTATGCTATAACGAACGGATTCCACTGCGAATATTCCTATAACGAACGGTTTTACCTATAAAATTGAATATGCTATAACGAACGCAACTCCTACAACGAACGCGGATGAATACGGGACTATTTCGTCTGGTGCATGAATATTGTTGTACCGCGGCTCACAACAAGAGCGTCAGGTGCCATATTGGTTCATTGTGTAGTCAGTGCACCATTGAACTTGTTGAAATTTTGTCTTTTGATGTGGAAATTCGTGTTATTTTTATAACTATTTTGTTATACAAGTGTACAATTGTAACAATGAATCGTCAAAAGCGAGTGAGAAAGCTAATAACCCTTGAAACTAAGAAAGAAATTATAAATAAACAGACAAAGTGCCTGTAAGACTCACCAAAGAGGGCTAGGAAGGATGACTCCTCCCCTTCCACCTCTTCTCCATAATTCTCTCCTCCCCCCTCATCCTCTGCCTCCTGTCCTGCATGCTAAGAACACTAAGGTAAGATAAAGTACCGTATTTTTTACAATTTCCACAGAAATTTTTCAGTGTTAAGTGGTTGTATTTGGGGGCCTGGAACGGATTAATCCTATAACGAACGAATGCTATAACAAACGAGGTTCTAGAACCAATTAGATACGTTATAGCATACCCCACTGTAACTGAGAGAAAATCATTAAAAAGGAGGCACACATTAATATATCTTGGCAAAACTTCATGGAAATCCTTGAGATAACAGTAGAGGAATGTATACCCCAAGAAAACACGGAGAAGAGGGAATAAGACCAGGTGCATGAATCACAAAATTAAGGAACTCTGCAAGAAAAAAATACAAGACGTGGAAGAAATTCCGGAATACAGGGCATCATGCGGAATATGTTACATAATTATAAAAAATCCTAAAAGTAGCCAATCAGAAAATTAAATCATCCAAACAGCATTTCAAGATGAAATTGGCCCAAAACATTACGAAAACTCGCACGTCTGTTATACGCATGCCAGGAATAAAATGAAAACCAAGGATACTGTCGGTCCTCCAAATCAGGCATGGGCAACCTTTCCTCGGTCATGGACCGTATTATGATTTAGGTATTTTTCTGTGGCCCAACCCACTAAAATTTATATATTGCCTAACCAAAAAGTAATTTTAATATTGTATTAGCACGGACAGTGAAACAGGTTTTGTTTTTTGTTTTGATTTTCTTTTTTTATGGGGAATGGCCCACCCGGACACTCCACAGTTTGGCTGTGTGAGGAAAGAAGGATAAACTAAAATGGGTTATTCTAGTGAGACCGCCATCCACAGAGAAAGGTGGGCACTGCGGGCAAGACAAGTGTTACGAGCCCACGGCCTTGCCGGCGGTACACAGGATGCCAAATCCACAGAACATTGCCCATTAAAGTACCTGTAAAAGAGAGAGTGAAGCAACATTATGGAAAAGAGAAAGGAAAGAAAGATTATCAACTAAAGGAGGAGAGTTAATAAGATGAAATGCCTTTGATTCCACCCTATCTAACAGTTGGACTGAAGAAGAGCCACCCCAGATATGAGAGTAGTACTCCAAGTTAGAACAAAGAAATCCCTTATATACTTGAAGCAACTGCTCAGGAGTGAAGTAGCTACGGCATCTGTACAGCATTCCCAGCTTTCTGGAGGCAGCTTTAGCAATGGTTCCATGACATGTTAGAGGAAATGGTGAGGCCTAGCAAATCTATTTTAAACTTTGGCAGAATGATTGCATCCTGAAATGTGACTGGTGGGAGATCATCTAATTTGGGAAGTGTAAATGGTAAATACTAAGTTTTATTACTACAGTATTGAATTTAACCAAGTTTCTACCTCCCCATTCGGAGATGCTGCACAGATTTGCATTAATAGATATAATGATATTGGTTCTAGAAACTGATCTAGTATGAGAATTAGGGGGAAGGGGAAAATGTGAAGAAGAGTGAAGAGTAGAATCATCAGCATAAGAATGGATAGAATTACCGGTAGTCATAGTGTGAAGCAAATCATTGAAAAAAAGAAGGAAGAGAGAAAGAACAAAACCCTGTGGGACACCACTATTGATAGAGAAAGAGCGAGAGATCGATCCCTCGACAACAAATGCCATGGATCAGTTCTCAAGGAAGATAGGAATTAGAGAACAAAGTGGGGGACAGAAACCATAAGAGGGAAGTTTAGAAAGCAAAGACTTGTGCCATACCCTGTCATTTGCTTTGGAGATGTCGATGGCCACGACAAAAGTTTCCTCATAATCCCTTCGAGAGGATGACCAAAGATGGGTGCAGTAGAAGAGCAGATCACCAGTAATCTCACCTGGCAAAAGCCATACTGGTGTTCCGACAAAAGAGATTGGTGTTCAAGGTGATGGAGAAAATGAGATGTTTAAGATAGTTTTAAAAATCTTAGAGAGGGATGAAGTTAGGGCAATGCAGCAATAGTTAGAGGGATTGGAATGGTCACCCTTCTTTGTGATGGGCTGAACCGAAGCATGATTCCAAGCCGAGTAAAAATAAATGAACAAAGTTACGTACTGTATATCTACCAGTAAATACGAGTTAAAAAACACGCATAACACCTCACAGCTTGGCCCAGTGGCCTGGTGGTTACAATGATGAGCTTATCCTAGCTACAATGCCATGATTAATCACTATTTAGGACTATTCTAACAAAAAGACCCCTAGTAACAGTAAATCCAGTGAAATATGGCAGGGAGCAAGGAATTATAACAGCAGATGACACGCTAACTCGAGGGCTGTATACAGTAAGGACACACTGCTGTAATGTCAAACTTTAGCTCTGCCCCATTCAATAACGTCGCACTACCCGTGGTGACCAGAGGATCCCTAAGGACTATGGCCTTGGCTTGGTTGATGTTTGAGTGTTTCATTTTTTAAGAATACTAGTAAGGCTAAGGCTTTTCGGTGGCTAGGTATAACAAAATGAATGCCTTATGATCTCATAGTCCTCCAAAAACTAAGTGATATAGAAAAAGAAAATTATAAGAAAATACCCAGGGGAGGGGAGGGCGGGGGGTTGCCGGGCATTTTGCTGATGACATGGATGAAGCAACTAAATTTTTTAGATTATTAGCAATGCAAGGATATTTACAATGTACAGTATACTTAAGAAAATATAGCAAGTTTCTCTAAGAGTTAAGCATCACGCCCGTTGCAGGTGAATTAACCCTCACGCCCCGGGTGACGTTCCAGAACGTCCGACCAGTGTGCCCCAGGTGATGTTCCAGAACGTCCGCCTATTCCCACCATTGTTTAAATGCCCAGCACGGGTTATCAGGTTCTAGTGTGACTATTTGCCTGTCACACCACACGCTCGGCCACAGGGAAGCTTCCGGAACATAATTACCTACTTTTGTTTGTTTCATTTTCATTGTTTGTCCATTTTGTCATGTTGTATCAAAGTAATATTGTTAAAAGTGGTATAGTTGTATTGTAGTGTAGTATTACTGTAAAATACTTTAAACATCACTCACAATGGACCTTGCAAATTCCAACTGTAATCAGACATACCTAAGTTGCCTCAACAATTGCAACCCCAGTTGCAATATCAAATTCTGTGTCATTACTAAAGAATAACGAAGTCTCTGGTGCAGTGCACTCCAAGATTAAGAAAAAATGGACTCCCACGACGGGGCACTCAAATAAACATACACATAGCTGTATAATGCAATATTAACGCCTAAATCGGTTAATTCGGACAATCGGCTAAAACGGACACCCTTCCCTCCCTATTAGTCCGTTTTAACGAGGGTCGACTGTATTTGAGGAATTATTATTATTTTATGCATTATTTGCTCTACCAAACACAAAGACAGCCAGGCAGACTGGCGACCGACTGGTGAGCGTTGCCAAGCACTTTTTATGAAAAATAATGCAAATAAAATATTCTAAATGAATTATATTTAACAAATAATTATTAAGATCAGTAAATATAAGCATTATTGGCGGCTCGGACACAAAGGCGAGCTAAAAATAGCTGCTACGTGCGTAAGGACCACGGCATCAGCTGTCAAACCAACACTGTCTCCTTGGTTCTACATATAAAACTGAAGAAAATAAGACCCTGGTTGTAGCTGTAGTAAAATTAGTATGGTTGTTTTAAGTAATGTCATTTAATGTGAATAAATGGAACAATGGAAGTAGTTAACAATTAAGGGTAAAAAAAAAAGAGAGATCACGTATGTAAGTGCGCACATGTGTAAACATATCATCATTACTCTACATAAGAAAATGAAAGCAACACTTATTTACTGTTAATATATATTTTAATTAATGTTTCTGAATTAAAAAAAAATATCTACCCACCAGTGGTAATAAAGTTGAAAACATAAGGACAGCCAATAATGTTGTGTGTGTGTTTTTACTTGGATGATGAAGTTGTATTTAAATTTGGAAGATTTTAATTATGTGGGGTTTTTACAGTCTAAATGGGTATCCAAATATGACAGCCTACTGTAAATAGGTGTCCAAATATGAGAGCCTACATATAAAGAAACAAACATTCCTGCATTTGAGACCAGCAGACAACCTTTAGCAATTCCTCAATAGATGGCACTGCAGCACCACTGCCATTAGTATACAAACCACACAGCAGCAAGGTTATTTTTTTTTTGCAATATATCAACAATAATAGTTAAATCAATAGTTTTATAGTACAGTGGTCCCTCGGTTAACGAAAGCCTCGGTTAACGAAATTTCGGTTAACGAACTGCCTCCCATAAGATTCTTAAATTCGGTTAACGAACAAAAATTCGGTTAACGAATTTCTTACGAACCGACCTCAACATGTTTTCGCTTGCACTAGCCGGTCAACCAGCTATAGCATTAGTCCGCCAATACATTAGTCGGTTCTAGGGCTTAAATTCCTTACTATTTTAGTAAATATCAAAAAGTTTATACTGTACTATTCAATAATTTTAAAAGTTTAATATTCAATTTTTTAGTCATTTTAACAATTAATGAACATAATTGAAGGTAAAGAAACTAGTTTCTGGCGTGCCATCCAGCCTGTTAACACACCAGACAGGCGTTAGTCTCTCTCCGTTTTCACTGGAGGTAACATCTTGCTTGAGACTCTCTTCAACTAAACGCTTTTTTTTTGTTTCCAAGCAAATTATTGGTCATTTTGAAATATATTTTACATATTGACAATATATAATGCAGTGCAGTGTTGATTAAAAGAAAATAATCTTGAAATACACCAAGAGAACTAAAATTTTAAGGGTGAAATGGTGCCATGGGGTGACTTCTCTTCCACCCCAATGCCTTCTCTTCTTCCTTCTCCTCCACCCCCATTCCAATTCTAATCATCATCATCATCATCATCCAGGAGCCTTCTACATACACACCTCAAAGTAAGTGTACTTTTCTACCTTTTTTGTTGAATTTAGGCAATTTTCGGTGAGCTGGAACCAATTACCCAAAAACCCATTGAAACAATGGTTTCGGTTAACGAATTTTTCGGTTAACGAACAACCTGCTGGAACAGATTGTGTTCGTTAACCGAGGGACCACTGTACTGTATAGAGAATACTTGTAATTGTTAAGTACGGTAATGAGGTACAGGTTGTACCTCTCTAGTCCGGCATTCTGTGGTCCGGAACGATTCTAGTTTGTCCAATAGGTAGATAGGCAGCTTTTTTTTTTTTTTTTTTTTTTTTTTTTTTTTTTTTTTTTTTTTTTTTTTTTTTTATCTGAATTATTATTATTATTACAGGAGTATTAAATTTTTGCCCCTCAGGCCCCAATGTGGGTCAGTGACCTATGCCCGGGTGGGCTAATCCCCTTAAAAAAAAAAAAAAAGCCGCGGGAAATTAAGGTTTGTTTACATCCGGCAGTTCGGCTGCTCTCTCTCTCTCTCTGCTTGTCTATACAGAGTACAACATTTAACCCTTCAATATATATGAGCAGTAAATAAGTGTTGCTTTCATATTCTTATGTAGAGTAATGACGATATATTTTCACATGTGCGCACTTACATACGAGCAGTCTCACTTTTTTTTTACCATTAATGGTTAGCTACTTATATTGTTCCATTTATTAACATTAAATAACATTACAGGTACTTCAAGCAACCATATTCATTCTTTACATTAATTTTACTACAGCTAAACTCAGGGTCTTATTTTCTTCAGTTTTATATGTAGAACCAATCAGTCACTGGTTTCGTAAGCTTTAACATAAACAATGCCGGCAGCCGTCTCGTCTCCTCTAATATTCCACGTATTATTAATAAATTGTATTGTTAATTTTGCACACACGTACATTAATTCAATAAAAACAAATTCAGAAACATTAATTAAAATATATATGAACAGTAAATAAGTGTTGCTTTCATATTCTTATGTAAAGTAATGACGATATGTTTTCACGTGTGCGCATGCGCACTTACATATGCGATCTCTCTTTTTCTTTACCATTATCGTTAGCTACTTCTATTGTTCCATTTATTAACATTAAATAACATTACTTAAAACAACCATATTAATTTTACTACAGCTACAACCAAGGTCTTATTTTCTTCAGTTTTATATGTAGAACCAGTCAGTCACTGGTGTTGTAATCAACGAAAACAATGCTGTGTCATTTCCTCATGTGTTTTAATGTTCTACATATTATTAATTAATTGTATTGCTCATTTTGCACATATAAACATTAATTCAATAAAAAAGACATTCAGTAATAAACAATAATGAATCTTTTTGTACATAAGAGAAATGACCCTGTTTACACGATTATGCACGTCGTCTGCACGTTGGCGGGCCGTTCAAACCCGTCGAAATTCAAGTTTCCGCCGTCAAAATTTTTATTTATTTATTTTTTTGTGTGTTCCAATAAAATACGTTAAGAATTAAAAACTCGCGAAATTTGAGAAGCTACTATACGACATTTAACCCTTCAATATGTCTTCAAAGAGACCATGACGCAGAGAAAGTGGTGCTAGTGCTTTCAGGCATAAGCACAAGTCACTATCTAACCAGGAAAAGGGTGAATTTCCTTGGTCCGGCAATTTCCATGGTCCGGCACCGGTCAGGTCCCGAGGTTGCCGGACTAGAGGGGTACAACCTGTAACAGTCTTTGTAAGGGGCCGATTTAAAAAACCTCTGCTACAACTCATCAACTAGCATCTTGGAAGACGCATGGTAATTTTCGAGGTATATTTTTGTCATAAAAGTGCGTCTTTTAAGCCGAAAAATACGGTAATTCTTTTGGGGAAAATTGCCCCGATATTCGCAAATTCATTACTTGCAATGACTTTTAAGAATATCATCCTTTGCAAAAACCGGGTTATTCTTGTACTGCATTAGAATCCATATTAATCTGCTCCTCTTGTCTATCCTAGCTCCTTGCCCCATACTTTCCTTCACGTTACTTTTTGTTGTTTGTTCACTTTATATAAAATTCTACATTACTCTTGGTGATTTTCTCTTTCAGGAGTGTTTAATGAACTATCAAGTGAAATACAGTACAGTGAGTTCTGCTATAACGCGTGTTTTGACAACGCGAATTGGCTCTAACACGATTTATGAATAGAGGAACGATATTTGTATAACGCGAATGCTTGTTTGCTGTAATGCGATTTTTGCTTACCATTTCTCCAATTTTGTGGTATTAACTGTGAATATGGTAAAGAAGAATATATCCAAGAAGCGTTCTGTTGATCGCATTCCCGATGATGAACGTAAAAGAAAGGCTATAACACTTGATGTTATCAACCTCAAAATCACCCTTCTCCCCCATCAAGTTATATTCATATTTCTTCACGGTAAAGTGTTACATTTACTGTATGATTTCATTACTAGATATGAATGTAACATTTATTTAGACTGTGCTAATCTTTGTGTTAGGCTAACTACCAAAAATTTTTCGATTTCGAGTAGTAATCTGCACCTAACCCTATTTTCTCCATAAGCCCTGTTATTTCTATTACGCGAATTTCTATAACGCGTTATAGCAGAACAGACTGTATAGCAATTGCATCAATCTCAGGTTGAGTTAATTTTAAGGAAATTTTGAGAGAATTCTGATTGTGTTATCCCATATTTACCAAAGGCACAACTGATTTACAATCCATTGGGCACATTACAACCTAACCCCATAAATAAGCCAGGTACTCTATTATTATCCTTCGACTGTACATGAGTAAATGGACACAAAATATTTGACAATACGTAAAAAGGGTTGAGATAAAATAAGATACCACCCAATAAGGTATTACAGTATCACATCACATATAAACCTTCATCATGGAGAACTTACAATCTTTAAAGGCATCTGATTTCCGGGAAAAAGTTTGGTAGCAGGCATCCAGTGCTGATAAATAACACTGTATTGACAGTTTTCCATCTACAGTTGGGTATTCTGATGACAGGTCAGGCTTGTAAAAATCATACACATGACACATGTGTGATCCTCGAACACCTGAAATATATTTCTGCATTAGAAAAAACAAATATGAAGATATACGATTACTACAACTTTTATAGGTGTAAATTAATGGTTTGTCAGGTTATTTTTGTAAATACTGTATTAAAATAAATGCAACTCAAATATGATCTGCACTAAAACAGGAGCCAACAGGAAATAGAGAGTAAGAAGGGAAAAGAAATGCCAAAGGAAAGAAGCTGCACCACTGCCAAGTAAGAAAATGCTGTCAGAGTGTAGGAGGATAAAGACAAGAAGGGAAAAGTGTCTGGGACTTAAACAGGTGCCAGATTGTGTTTACTTGCTATGAAGTTTTACTTTTTAATAGATCATGTTAACCATCTCATCACATACTACAGTATATGAGTCTGTGTTGGTCACAATACACGCATTACTAGCAAGCAAGCACAGGTTTTTTGTTTTAGTGTTTAGGAAAAAATGGTAATATACCTAGGTTGATTAAATATTAAAAATGGTAGCTGGCCCCCCTCATCATGTGATTAACATTTTAAGTTATCTGAAAGCAATGCACTTTACTCAACCCAAACAAAATAACAATGGCAAAAAGTTTACTTGAATGAGAAAAAAAAAAAGATAATAAATAATGAATCTACGTTATGACAGGTCTAACATCCAGGGTAAGTCTGACCTTACAACGTTGTATCTAGACTGAAAAATGGTTCCCTTTGTACACATGCCGGCAGGTATAGTGTTCTTCCCCTTGGCAGACATTCCTTACATGTGGTAATGTTGCAGTGATGGGTGAGACACGTTTCCAATGACAGTTATGAAAAAGATTTATTTATAACAGTGCTATGAGATATACTGTACTATCTAAGTACTATAATGAAGTCTCAATGAATGCTAAGTATTTAACAAGGTTTTTAAGTAACTGTGTGTTAATCTATTTCACCCCACTTACCATACACCAACATGGATGTATACAGTGGTCCCTCGGTTAACGAGCACAATCCGTTCCAGCAGGTTGCTTGTTAACCGAAAAACTCGTTAACCGAAACCATTGTTTCAATGGGTTTTTGGGTAATTGGTTCCAGCTCACCGAAAATTGCCTAAATTCAACAAAAAAGGTAGAAAAGTACACTTACTTTGAGGTGCGTATGTAGAAGGCTCCTGGATGATGATGATGATGATGGGAATTAGAATGGGGGTGGAGGAGAAGGAAGAAGAGAAGGTATTGGGGTGGAAGAGAAGTCACCCCATGGTGCCATTTCACCCATAAAATTTTAGCTCTCTTGGTGTAATTCAAGATTATTTTCTTTAAATCAACACTGCACTGCATTATATATTGTCAATATGTAAAATATATTTAAAAATGACCAATAATTTGCTTGGAAACACAGAAAAAAAGCGTTTAGTTGAAGAGAGTCTCAAGCAAGATGTTACCTCCACTGAAAACAGAGAGAGACTAACGCCTGTCTGGTGTGTTAACAGGCTGGATGGCACGCCAGAAATTAGTTTCTTTACCTTCAATTATGTTCAATAATTGTTAAAATGACTAAAAAAGTTAATATTAAACTTTTAAAATTATTGAATAGTATAAACTTCTTGATATTTACTAAAATAGTAAGGAATTTAAGCCCTAAAACTGATTACTGTATTGGCGGACTAATACTACAGCTGGTGGACCGCCAAATGCAAGCGAAAACATGTTGAAGTTGGCTCGTAAAAAACTCGTTAATCGAGGGATTGCTCGTTAACCGAAGTTAAGAATCTTATGGAAAGTAAATCGTTAACCGAAATCTCGTTAACCGAGGCGCTCGTTAACCGAGGGACCACTGTACATAGTCACTGATAGCTGGGGACATTTCTGTGATCTGAGTATCAGATGATGGATTATGCCATCCATAAGAAATGGTCAAGTAACAGCAATGGAAGTGTCAAAAGCTTTGTGTTAGCTTTCCTTTCATAATCTTACCTCAATCCAATTGATGCATAGGATCGAATAATAAAAGCTATGTATATTGATATTTATCAACCAATTAATGTCCAATACAACAAAATTGTTTTAAGATATTTAGCAAAACAATCATTATGTTAATTCACACTCTCCTCTATCTAATTATGTTTTATAATAGTCTATACAGACATTCTCCAGGTTACAGAGCACTCAGTTTACAAAAATTCAAGGATACAGAATGCTGCCAATAAGTCCCATTATAAAATTTTTGGGGTTGGGCAAGAGTTTTTGTTATTAGGGAAGGTAACTAGTACGGAGTAACAACACTATTTGTGGAGAATTATGCATCAGGTGGCTGGCACATCTTCTTGTGAGACTCCATCTGTGACTCAGTACAGGGTACAGTACATGTTTACCTTATGGAAGGGTCATTTTTGGTTTACAGAAGATTCGGCTTACAGATAGGGTCCAGGATCGGATGTGGGTACAGCGCGAAGAGGAATCAACATTAAATTCTCTTTTCGCTTATACTGTACTCTCCAAAATGCCTTTATTTTATTTTATTTTAGGGTTTCATGTTATTTCCCAGCCTTTTTAGAGTAAGAAGGCATCATCTGAATAAATATTTGACAATATCTAAGCCACGAATAGCACTCGGGAAAAAAATATCTTCGTGATTTCTGGTCATTCTGCAGACTAAAAATTGGTCCTGTGATAGACTCGTTAAATAAATTTTAGGCAATCCCGAGAGTGCTAAAGCAGCCCTTGTCCATCTATAGTATAAGCTGGGCAACTGCATGCATTCTAATCTCTCTGGGTAGCTGAGGTGCCACAGTGCAGGCACCAATTAGGTAGCCCTCTTTTAAATATTCTCAATCTACTGACCAGACAGACAGACAATAATCCAAGCAAGGAGTATCTCGCTTTTGAAGAGTGTTATGATGGACAGACCATCTAGATACGTGAATGATATTTGTATAAATCCTAGTAATTTATTTACATGATTTACCTTCTTCTCACAATGACCCAAGAACTTCAGTTCATTGTCAACATACTGTACACACACTGATCCTTTTCAAATTTGGTTTCAAATTTTTATGATGTTTCATTACATTGGATCATGTGATATATCTCTTCTCTATTGACATGGCCAAGGAGCATCCTCTCACATTTCTTAACATTGAAACTTGACAGTCATTCCTTTGACCATACCTGAAGCCAACAGTTCTTCTTTTAATGCTTCACACTTCATTTGATTATTAACTAACCTGAATAACTTAGCATTGAACACAACAACAACAAATTTAAATTCTATATCCTTCAACCTTACTAATACTGTATCTCTTTTTCTATTTAATTGTCTAAATTCAAATTCCTTTCTTCTAAAATCCTCCATTAACACTATGCAGTACTGTACTGTAAAATACAGGTATGGAAATACAGTAGAATAAATTCTAAGTTATAACAACAAGCAACTTGGAATGGTGTGGATGTACCTCTCTCCATGATTAATGGGGCATGGGGGCCCACCAACATGGCCACAGCTCCAGCACCACCAGTAGGTCTGGCAGGTCCACTGGCATACACAGCAATGTCTCCTGCAATCACCACAGCATATCGACCTGTAAAACATAATTTGGACAATAATTATCGAAGAAAATAATTTTCTGTCATTAACACATTTTATAAGATGCCTTCCACATTTACAGGAAGGTGGGTTAAAGGGAACCTAAATTAAACACTATGATCATTATATAGTGACATGTCTGTGTGATTATAAGTTATCATTAACATCACTTATGCTTGTTAAAAACTTCCATAACAGCCTCATTCTGCAAAAGAAAATGACTGCTGATTGTTTGAACTATTAACACATCGAATATTGCAGTATCAGATATAAGACAGAGAGCTAAAAGGGAATACACACAGAAAAGAGAACAGAGAATGGAAATGAAGTTGAGAAAAAGACATCACTATGTACTATATATGACTAGTGTCCATGAAGTAAAAAAAATAACAAAATTTAAAGTAGAGAAGGTTCCATAAAAAATTATTCCACATGACATACTGATGCTTTTCTAAACTTATCATACTAAAGCTACTGTTACAGCACAACCTTCTTATACCAATAAGACATAACGTCTGGAAGATGACTCCCCTTACCTGAGTTGATGCTAAGTATTGAAGAGGTGACTTGCACCAGCAGAGGTGGTGTGACATGTTTAACTAATGGCAAAGCTGACCACAGTTAACAAAGATAACTACTGTAGCCCCTCAGTGCCCATTACCATCCTGGCTCTGCCCTCATTAGCTATGATGATGAGGGTTTCTATTATTTAAGGCCAACTGGTTGAATGAGCTGGCTGATTCATTCTAGAGTTGTCAGTTTTAACTCAGACTTACTTAAGAACACTGGTAGTGAGAGATTCAATACCTATGGAATTTTAATGTCAGCATTGTTGGTGTTAGCAGGGTTCCCACTGTGGTCTTGTACTAAAACATTCTGATCTACTCCTGACCAATAGTAAATTTTTCCTAACCACAAAAAATATTCTGACCTTTTTGTGACCAGAGGTAAATTCTTCCTAACCATTATAAAAAAAACAAAAGGTAATTTAAAGACTTCCTTCTTCCCTACAGCTGCCCTTCCACCAATTAATTGAAGAATTTGGTTAAAATAATAATTGGTAAAAAACAATTTCTTATTTACAGTGACAACTTCTGAAGCACTTAATGTATTTTTCCAATCAGTCATATACTGTACTGTACAGTACTCGACAGCTTTGATAAAACCAATTACAGTTTTATGTATACACAAAAATAATCACCCAGTATCTGCCCATCTGGGTCCTGTGTCTGGAAGTGAACACCACGTACAGCAGTTTCAATTCAGTTGGTATTTCTTAATGTGAGTTGCACCAGCAGATATCAGAAATACCAACTGAACCAAATTGCTGTACATTTGTGTTCATTTCCAAAAACCTGACCAAGGTGGATAGATAAGTTTTTTGTGTGTGTGTACCTGTGTATTCAGAGATAATACTGTAGTATGATTTGTGTGTACCATACTGAGATACACTGAGGGATTAAATATAAACTTTTATAAGATAATTATCAAATTTTAAGAATATTTAGAAAAATACAGTGAACCCTCACTTTACGCGGTCAATTGAACCCACTGGGCCGCGTAAAGTGAGAAACGCACAAAAGTGAACAACATGACATACCGGTATGGGATTAATTGAAATAGAGACCGGGCTGACCCCCAAACTCCACTTTTTCCGACACAATACCTATGTTCTAGTAAAAATAACATCTTAATTTTATGATGGTACACGCACAAAATAAATATTTAAGAGAAATAGAGAAATACAGTCGCCAAGTTAATGTCCATTCAAATAATGGACTCAACTCCCTCCCCTTCTTCTCACACTCGCTGGCTCTTCCCTCTTTGAGAAATGTTTGGGGGAAAACACTAGATTTTAAGGTATAGTAATAAATATTACCTCAAACTAAAGTTAGGATAATATACCGTATATACTCGTGTATAGTTCGAGTTTTTAAGACCAAATTTTTAGGCAAAAAATTGGGGGTCGTCCTATACATGCGTAATAGTTTTGTTAGGTTGAACCCGTGCATGATGGGAAGGGCGAGGAGCAACTTTTAGCTTCAGACATGAAAAATATTTACCATTTACTGCCAGTAAACAATGGAAATGTAAAATATGTACCAATTAGTAATGAAAAGTTGTGCAGTTCCTTCAGTAAATGAAGCTCACCAACTTACAATAGGCTAAATTACCTTACAACGTGCTTTCAGTAGTCTATGTTGAAGTTCTTAGCACAGGCTAACTTATCATATCATATATACGGTATCACAGTTCTCATTGATCTACAAAAAATACCGGTAATAAAAACCTTTTCGATATTTCACACTTAATATAATACCCGGTAATCTACTTCAACCTCCTATTGTTTACAACGACGCATGACGCACCACCAGCTGTATCACCTAGACGGTACACGTGTTTTTCGAATCGTTTTCAGTTAAAAAACTGTTACATCACATGTATATTTTACCTTAACTGTGCCTGAATGAATATGTTCTCGGAAATAAATAGTAGTTTTGCTGAAACGTGATATATTTTTATGTAAAATAGGATAAAATACATGACGAAAACTAAAGACTTTACCTAAGCTTCTGTTCTTGAGATGTCACTCGTTTTTTAATAGTTTTCGGTTAAAATTTTGTTATATTACAATGATATTCTATTCACACTGTGCTTGATATAATACATTCACAGAAATGTAATATTTTTGCTGAAATTACATACGTATTAAAGTGGAAAGTGGGATAAAATCGTGACGAAAACAATGACTTTCGCTTTCTTTCGTTCAAAAGATGTTACCGTATTCGCTTTTCGAATGGTTTAGTTAAAAACTGTTGTATTACAATAATATTCCCTTCTAACTGACTTGAATAAATACTTGAATGGAGATATACAATATTTTTGTTGAAACTACCCGCGTTTCAGTGTAAAGTGTCGTAATAATAAATGGTAAACAATTTGCCTTCGGCACTCGTGTTTCATGCACGGCGAGCCTCAGTTTATAGGACGTGGAGCATATTTACTGAAGGTTTTGTTGTTCCATTACCCTCAAAAACGTGGGTCAAACTATAAACGAGGAATATGGTAAATTAACGATTTCTTGGTCAAAAAATCAGGGTCGACCTATAAACGAGGGGGGTTTATAGATGAGTATATATGGTAATTAACATTGCTGGATTCCTTGTAAGACCAGGAATATTTTGAATATAAATGTCATATACAGTGGGGTATGCTATAACGAACGTAATTGGTTCCAGAACCTCGTTCGTTATAGCATTCGTTCGTTATAGGATTAATCCGTTCCAGGCCCCCAAATACAACCACTTAACACTGAAAAAATTCTGTGGAAAATGTAAAAAATACGGTACTTTATCTTACCTTAGTGTTATTCAGCATGCAGGTACCCCTAAACACTGGCACATCACTATCACTTCCACTGGGAGTCTTGGCTTTAAGGTCCTCAAACAATTGTTTAGCCTTCTCACAAATTATAGCTTCACTAATGTTACCACCTGCCATTTCTTTCTCCTTTATCCACACTAAGAGTAAATTTTCCTTCTCTTCAACCACATTACACCTTGCTTTGCTAAGTCTAAAGATTCCCTTAGCCACTTGCACAGTTTTTAACTCCTCTTTATTCTTCAAAATCGTACATATAGTCGATTTAGCCATCCCATACATCACTAAGTTTCGCAATGCTTCTTCCATTCTCACGTTTCTTTATAATTTCTTTCTTAGTTTCAAGGGTTATTAGCTTTCTCACTCTCTTTGGACGATTCATTGTTACAATTGTATACTTGTATAACAAAATAGTTATACAAATAACGCGAATTTCCACATCAAAAGACGAAATTTCAACAATGAGTGGTGCACTGGCTACACAATGAGACAAAGATGGCGCCTGACGCTCTTGTTGTGGGTCGCGGTACAACAATATTCATGCGCCAGGCGAAATAGTCCCGTATTCATCCTCGTTCGTTGTAGGAGTTGCGTTCGTTATAGCATTCTCAATTTTATAGGTAAAACCGTTCGTTATAGGAATATTCGTAGTAGGATCAGTTCGTTATAGCATACCACACTGTACAAGTACAGTACAGTAATCCTGTGTTTTTCACGGGAATTACGTTCCTATAACCCCCGCGAACAGCCAAAACCGCAAATACTCTTTTAGGAATCACTGTACCTGTGGCCACCAAACAGCTCAGGTAGGTCATGCACTTAACCACGCCATGCTCTCCACTCACGGCCCAGTGGTCACACTGATGACTAATGCACTGCCACGCCATTTACTAACATAATTATTTGAAACTAATCATATTGTAGTATAATAATGGAAAAACGTAAACACAGTTATATACAAAAAAAATTATTTACAAGTAACTAAAAACAATTATATTTCGCTGAGGTCGGCAACACCCGCATTGCCAGCCTCTCCCTGCTGTCCCGGCGTCTGCACACCCTCACACAGTCACGCCAGCCAGCACAGTCCTCTTCCACTCACATTCCTCCACTTGAAGACTTGTATTCTGACAAAAGACACAAATGAATTGTCAGTCTTCACCACATCTCGAGCCATAGCTCTTACGACTGCTGAGCTTGTCAAATAAAACTGTTTTTTCCATTAAGGTCATCACTATTCTTGATCTCTTGGTCACTTTAGAGTCTTTGCTAGTAATATTTGCCTTTGATGAGGCTGGCTTACATCCCGGAGCCATGTGGAATGCATGTGGGAGGACAAACAGAAGAGGTAATTGCAGTAGCGTTCACAGTACGGTAGGCACATCTGGACTGAGGCTTCTCGGAGCAGCAGGTGTCTGAGGCGGGAAAGGGTGGCGTCTGTTTGCTGCACCGCATAGGGGAATATCGAAAATGGCGCAAAATTTAAATTTTTGTTTTTAAAGGATATATATATATATATATATATATATATATATATATATATATATATATATATATATATATATATATATATATATATATACAACAAAAAATATATGTACAAAAAATGTTAAATGAATTATTTATGGTGCATTAGAGTACTGGTGACTTCAGACACAAAGACGGGCTATAAATAGCCTTCTTTATCTCCCCTCCATCTCACTCTGAGCCAGAGGGAAGGGGTGGTGGTAAATAACATTTGTTTGCTTATTTTCCATTTACTTGAAATAGATTTACCGAATTATTTGTTTATTTATTTAAAAGTCATTTACTGAATATTCTATGTAAAAAATAAATTTTAAATTAATTATTTATAGGAGATACCGTAAGTATTATGATCAGTAAATATATGGTATTACTGGCCACTTCAGACACAAAGACGGGATAAAAATAGCCCATCTCCCCCTCTTCTTACAGCTGCCAATGGGAAGCGTCTTGGTAATTAAATTTGATGTTTATTTTCATTGTCTAGTTTATCATGTACAGTGGGTTATGCTATAACGAATCTAATTTGTTCTAGAACCTTGTTCGTTATAGCATTCGTTCGTTATAGGATTAATCCGTTCCAGGCCCCCAAATACAACCACTTAACACTGAAAAATATAATATAAAATTGTAAAAATTTTAAAAAAGTGCATAAAGATGCATCTAAACCCCTGAAATAAAGAATATCATTAATATTTGTAATAAAAAAACAATAAATTAGAAAAAAAATTAAATAATGTTCGTTGTAGGAGTTTCGTTCGTTATAGCATTCTCAATTTTATAGGTAAAACCGTTCGTTATAGGAATATTCGTAGTAGAATCCGTTCGTTATAGCATACCCCACTGTATCAAAGTAATATTACTAAAAATTGTGTAGGTAGTAGGCAGCTACCAAACAGGTAGATACTACTGCCTGGGAAGATATTGGAAGCATAATGTGTTGTCTAATGGTAGACCCTGCTGCCATATGGCATCACGAAAATTGTGACCAAGTCCCAGGTTCAGCGCTGACCTGACTTTCTGCCTCATTTACACACAATTGCAGTTTGAATTGTTCCTCTAACTTTGATAACACAACATACATACAGTATATTATTTCTCACTTTTGATCTTTTTTTTACTTTTTGTATTTATTTATGGTTAGTTACTTAAAATAAGGCCAATTCACTTCAAGTAATGGCATCAAATGTTACCAGCTGGTGTAGTGTAAACACTAGTGACGTCACTTAAGCGTCTGTATTTAACTGTCAGTAGTTTCAAGAATTAATGCAGTCATTTACTGAATATTCCTTGTAAAATAAATAAATTTTAAATTAATTATTTATAGGAGATACCGTAAGTATTATTATCAGTAAATATACCGATATGCATTACTGACCACCTCCACGGCTAAAAATAGCCCAATCTCGCGGTCACTTTCCCTTTCTTGTCTCCTCACTGGCAAATGGGGGGAGGCGTGGGGAGGGGTGTGTGATGATAGCTGTGTTTATTATAGGGGTATAATTCTCTTTTACGGTATGTTAGACAGGTTTATAATACATTTTTATTATTTTAATATACTGGTAATCTTAATTTGAATCCAGCTTGCCAAATGTAAGTTTCAGTATAAAATAATTAGTGGTAAGACCTTGCGAGTGGCTTACGATGTTTCCATCACCACTCTTGACACACTAAACCACAATATTTAAGAGGTAAGAATTTTATACTTGGTGGTTTAGACGACCCCCTAACTTTGGGCAGATTTTTTTAATGTTCAAATTCCGTCTTATAAGCCGAGATATACGGTATTTGTAATAAATAATAATAATAATAATTAACGGTTTATTGAAAGAACTTGGCAGCCAGAAGGCTGAAAATATACAGTTACATATTTGGGGAATGGGTTTCGAATTACAAATAATATACAAGTAACATAAGTGATATAAATAAGATATATAATAACTAGATGGGGAAAAGCTCAAACTACAGTGCATTTCAACATAGTGACAGTGCAAGGAGTAGTGTTTACTGGGAGTGAATACACTGGTCTATTACAAGTTATTGATAATTTTTACAATGGTTGGGACTGGGCTGTTCTTATAGCGATCAGTTCGTGCACGTATGGGCTGGATGCGGTTGTGGTGTCGAACAGCAATTCTCGGGCTAGGGATCTCAGGTGGTAGTAGGAGCCGGTGTCAAGGATGGTGTAGAAGCTTCTTACCAAATTTGCAGGTGAGGTCGTGGTGATGGTCAATGAGAGTCGAAAGGGTCAGTGTGTTGAGCGCTTCTTGATATGTGGAGTAGGAAGGGGAGAGAATAATCTTGCATGCCCTCTTTTGCACTTTTTCTAGGTGTTTACGTTGTGTGGCATTTAGGGAGGAAGACCAGGTGGGGGGAGGCATAGGTGAGCTTGGGAAGTATGAATGTTATGTATAAGCACTGAGGGGCTTCGGTGCAGGAACTCGAGGGACTCGGTCGGCGGAGGAGGTGGAGGCGGAAACTGGAGGATTTGACAACTTCACTGACGTGTGGTTTCCAATTTGGTTTGTTGTCTATGGTGACGCCGAGGAGCTTCGTGGAATCTACAACCTGGAGTGTGTTCGGAACCTAGGTAATGGAAGGAGGTGGGACAATGTCGGAGGAGAGGTTGATGTGCATAACCATGGTCTTGGTATGGTTGATGGTGACATGGTTGTTGGTGGCCCAGTTTTGGAGACTGTTCAATAAATCCTGAAGGGCGGTATAGATGGGAGCAGAATTGTTGACGCTGATCCCAATGGTGGAGTCGTCGACATATTTCCAGCGAGCAGGGGTTTCTCTTAGGGCATCATTGATGAGCATAAGGAAGCAGAGTGGTCCCATCTTGGTGCCTTGGGGGACGCCACAGGAGAGTGACTGAAAGGTGGAGACAGCCCCTCGGAAGCGTACAGCTTGGCGTCGGTCACTGAGGAAGTCTGTAAGCCATGGTATAAGACTTCTCCGAAGCCCGAGGTCAATAGCTTTGTTGATGATTATATTGTGGTCGACTAGGTCGAATGCTTTAGTGAAATCAATGAAGGCGACAGCTACAGACGTTTTTCGTTTCTCGAGATGGCGGTATATGTAATCGAGAAAGGTGACAAGACAGTGAGTGGTGGAGGAAGTTTTCATGTTGCCAAATTGCTGAGGGTCTACGACTCCTGCAATATCAGCATAAGCCCAGTCGAACACAAAACTTTCACAGATTAGGCTGGGTATTGGGGTGATTATAGGTCGTAGCTGATTTAAGGATTGTGGGCTGGTTGACTGGTGATACATAAGAGGTCTTCCAGTCAGCTGGGCATCTGGCTTGACTGAGAGAAGCATTGATGATGGAGCATAGGGGTTTAGCAAGCTCCGGGGAGAACTCCTTGAAGAGTTTCATTGGTAAGTCAATGGGGGTGGTAGAGCGTTTTAATTTTAGTTTGTCCAGGCGTTTTGCTACTTGAAATTCTTCTACTAAGTCAGTGGGAAGGGGGGCTGGTAGGTAAGCAGGGAGAGTGGTTGTGTCAAGCCGGGGGAGCGTCTGGCATATAGTAGCGAAATGGTTATTTGTTTGCTCAGCTGCGTCAACATTAGTGAGATGGCTAAGGAAGGGGAGGGGGTGTGTCTTATTGTTTAGTCCACAGAGTTCTTTAAGCTTACCATACCATTGACTGATGTTGGTCTGCTTCAGGTGTTGTAATTTGGTTGGGTAGTGGGACTTCTTTGCAGTGCGTATTTCGCGTGCATAAATAAGGCTTTGACAAGCTCAGGTTCTGCATAATGAGTATCAGCAGAAGCAGCAGGGGCTTATTCTGTGCTGCTTTGTGACACAAAATGGTAAGCACCTTTAAAACTATTTATAGTTGGAACTCTTTCAGAACATAAACAAAAGGTAAAGAGCAAGAATAAACGCAATGTACTCACCATCCCAGGAGCTCGACTCCACCCAGTTGATGGCGTTGATAAGCGCAGACGTGCCACCATAGCACGCATTGGTGGTGTCAATCCCTTCCACATCAGTATTTCCTGAATCCTCAAACAGCTGCATCAGACAACTCTTGACACTCTTAGACTTGTCAATAATGGTTTCTGTTCCAACTTCAAGACGACCAATGTTTTCATAACCTATAACAACAGTGGATTAGATTTTGTACTTAATACTGTACTGGTATAATACTAATGCTTCCAGCTCCTTAAGATTAAGAAATCAACCCCAGATTAATGCAAATTCTTGAACTAATATAAATCACATATTACTGATCCCCCCTTTAATTCTCTAGAACACAACACAATCTACCGCTGCAGAATATTACGAGTAAAAAAAAACAAATTTTGTCATTCCTACCATAGTTTGATGAAGGACGAAGATCTGGATATACGTATAGCATTAATGCCTTAAAATATATCTAAAGACATTACAGTATATAATATATACATACTACAGGTTGGACCTCGCCAATCCGGGAAGCTTGGGACCAGACTGGTTCCAGATTAGCGAAAATTCTGAACCATCGAAGCCGAGGTTAAAAAAAGGCAAAATAATGCATAAGATGTACTATTACAGGTACCAATATAATTCACATCAGCATAAATCTAGCGGAGGCTTACTGGACCTCTTTATGACAAAGTGTTAATGCTATGGCACACCTGGACCCTCGCTTTATGACATTCACTTTATGGGAATTTCCATATATGTAAAGAACTAAACAAAGAATTTATTTGAAATACCTGTTCTGTGTAACATTCAATGCCATAATATCCTGACCACTGGGGTTAGTTATACAGACCTTTCCCTGTGAAAAAGCCATAATCTTTATCCACAAATTACTGTACTCAGTTTGTACTCAAATGTACTAAGCTAAAGGACTAAAGATTTTATCTCTTGTGCAAACTATGAGTTGTTTATACTCAAATTAATCACTATCTTGCAAGAATTTCAACAATGCAAGTTATATTCTGCTAAGTCAAGTCAGTGCCATTTTATAAGAGAAAAACTTCAAGCCTAAAACCACCTTCACCATCTATGATCCTTTTTGCCTTCTGGCTGGGAGGAAGGGGGAGGGGTAGGTGAGGTATTGACAGCCAGGAGGGGAGATTACCAGGTGCTTAGTTATCAGTGGGGGGGTTCAGGGACTCAGGATAAAACAATAGAGGGATTTTAAGTTTTTTCTTTATAAAATGTCACGGACTTGATTTAGCAGAATATAACTGACATTGCTGGAATTCTTGTAAGTTAGCAATTAATTTGAATATAAACATCCCATAGTTTGCACCAGCCACCAGGCATAAAAATTTTAGTAATTACTTAGCACATTTGAGTACAAGTTGTGATAATTGTAATGATTTTTCCACAACTTTCATAACATTACTGTTGACTTTTAGTAGTTGTTCCACAACAACTAATTTTTCCCATAAGATTAAGTGTTCACTGTATGCGTCCCGAGCCATCGAAGCTTCTGAACTATCGGGTCCCGAATTACTGGGGTCCAGCCTGTGTCTACCTGCTGTATGTCATTCTTCCATTATCTATCTATGCTAACCATTATATACCTGCTGTACATCATCTTTCCATTATCTATCTATGCTAGCCATTATCTACACACAGGAGAGGATGGCCTAGATGTTACAGTCCTGGATAATATTAGTACATGTTGCATCATCTTCTACACTAGACACACACGCACAAAAAAATTAATATTCAGCACTGCTGTAATAGTGATTGGGCATCATACACAGGTATAAAGATGAGGCAATGTAGTGAAAAGATAATTAAAAGACAATTATATTCACAAAACTAAGTCAGTTTGCTGTACAGTACAGTACTTACCAACCCCAGTTCTCTCCATGAGACGGGAGAGAACAGTGAGACACAAGGAGTTGATGTCCTCTCGGTCTGAGCAAAAGCCCATCCTGGTCTGACCCAGGCCAATGGTGTACTTCCCCTTTAGGAAAACACAACACATGAATGTGAACAATGAATGAAGTCTTAATCTAAGCTAAAATGTTAATCTATATAACTACTGTACCAATATAAAGTCAGCTACAGTAGTTTACTAACCTATAAACATGTGAATCACCATTTGTATGTAGTGTACTGTACTAAAATATAAAAAAGTACAAATACTGTACATTAATAAACTTTGTGTGGGAAGAAGGAAACAATAAAGCACAAGGTGAGACAATAATATGAGAAACCAAATTAGAGAAAAATAAATTTCCTGGTACAGTAATACAGCACAGTACAGCTGTATTACTATTTCCATTAACAAAGTGAATATCACTATGAATGGAGAAAAATTAAAGTTTTCACAGGTTTAAATTTTAAGGAGCAATTTTCATCAAAGAATGAAATGCAAGAGCATAAGTTAAGGACAGAGTAACATAAGGAAAAAACAATTATAATCAATGTGAAGAGCATGAGTGGAGAGTGGGCAGGAAGAATGCATGAAGACAAGTTTGGTGTAACTCTTATGTAACTCTGGTGCTTCAGAGTAATAACAGATCAAGACTGAAAGTAGTTAAGATGGATAATTTGTGCAATGTTATGAGAGCTATAAGAATTTGATAAGTAGCAAATTTGTAGGAAAAAGTATGAGGTCTAAAAGTCTCCAAAGTCAAATGGATAAAATGTACTATGATGGTACAGTACAGTACACTATAGGCATATGGAAGACATAGCAGCAGAGATAGGCTAGAAAGATACAGTACAGACATCCCCCGGGTTACAGAAGGGTTCCGCTCCTGAAAATCTTTCCGTAACTTGAATTTCCAAAATGCTGGACCATTTTTCCCATAAATTTTTTGCAGCCCCAAAATGTAACAAAAGCACATTTATGAATGAAAATAGACACATACAATGATTCATTCATGATGTAACATAACAATATATGAGCAAACTTGAATTTAACTCACCAGAAATTATGATGAGTGCTGCAGGAGGTTCAGGTGAGGTGGTGCGATTGGAATTACTGGGAAGTTACCTCCTTTAAACATCATGGTTATTGTTCAACGCTATTCCTTTACAGAATCTTTGAATCACCACAGCTTTCACTTGAACTTTATCCACTCACCTTGAATTAGGGTACATAGTAACACAGATGCATAACTGAACACAAACTGGGGAAAGAATTCAAACTGAGCAGCACCATTGTTGTGGTGGCTGCTGGCAGATGGGGAGGCGAGTCACTCTCCAACCGTCTTGTAGCTACCACCAGAATCCACAATTTAAAATTTTTTTAATTTTAATGAAATTTTTTGTTCTATACCTGTATTGTGATTTTTCTTTTGAAAATGTTAAAAAATTAACCATAATTCCATAAGGGCAAATATAGTCCTGAACACAGACGCACAACTCAACACAAGCTGGAGAAAGAATTCTAAAAGTGGAGCGCCACTGCTGTGGTGGTTGCTGGCAACTGTGGAGGGGAGCTGTCTTGTAGCTACCACATATAATCCACATGAAATAAATTTTAAAATTTTGGTAAAAATTTTGATTAAAAATTGCACTTTTTTTAACAATTAAAAAATTTACCCAAATTCTGTAAGGGCGAGTTTTTTTTATCTGTATCCAAATTTTTGGGTCACAATTTCAAAATTCCATTAGTGCGAATTTCAATAACCTGAGTTTCCGTAATGTGGGGGATGCCTTATATAAAATCAAAAGTGAAGATACAACAGCAAGAAGACAAATAAGAAAGGGATAGACAAACTAAAGTACATATTGTAGATGAATTAATTAGATCTAAAAGCATTATGTTAGATAATACCTATACTGTACTTGAAGAATGGCAGTGGATTGTGTTTGTGGTGGTAGTAATGTAAATAAACCTGACCCTACTGAAAATAGGCATCTGATGGTTTTGTCAGCTATCCTTGGTCAAATTGCCTTACTGTTTACTATTGTTGTATACCTGCACTGTCTAGGTACAGTCCAGGCCACTTGTAAGCCACAGACTGGTGGCTTTGAAATTCCTAACTGGCAACTTTGCTGGATCCATCCTCCCCCACCTCAAAAAACATACAAACCAGACAATTAATCGGTGGTCAGCCGAGGTGTAAAGTCAACGCTTATCCCCAAACAAGTTACGTAGTACAGTAAGGATAACTTCAAAAATTTATTTCCTTTTAGTTTCTGAGACCTACCCATGCATTTGTTTTAGTTACAAATAAAACAAAACTATTAAAGGGTAATACAATGAAGTTATGTAGAAGTTTGTTTGCAGAGCTATTCCTCACTTCCTTATGCTGATTATGGCCTTACTTAGCTACAAGACCATGATATACAGGACTTCCAAGATTTTTCATTAAGAAAATCTTTGTTTCAAAATTAAGTTGCAGTGGAACTGCCCTACAAGTTATGGTTCTACAAAAAAAAATCAAGAATAAGTAGAATAAGGTGCATATTGCTTACCTGAGACACACCATCAAATGCCTCTAACTCTGCTTGGTCTACATACTGAGATGGAAAATACAATTCCATGGAAATAATGCCCACGTCCTGAGGCCATCCTGTGCATTCAGTACTACTCTTATAGCTTGGCATTGTGATCTGTAAAAGTGAAAAAATTTGGAGATGAAATTTCTACTTTTAGTAGCTAACTTCTTTAATGTACAGTGTACTTCATATTTTTCCCGCCGCTGCTAACGGGCTTCAGCCCATGAACTGCGGCTGGGGAGAAAGTACCAGTACAGGTGGTTGTTTGAACATTAAAATCTTAGTGTACATTGGATGGCTGCTTGGCATATAAGGCAAGCAAATGATATACATAAAGAGTAAGAAGCACACTATGGGATGTAGAAGTAATTGAGTTTAGTGATGTAGATGTAATAAATCTGAGATAATTTTGAAGGGAAAGTGTAAGAATGTAAGAAATGGGAATTAGGCTAGTATTGTATGGTACATTATAGTACAGCATTTCAGTTTTCTTTTGCTCATTGTTTTTCCAGTTTTTTGCCTTCTTATGTCAGTTCTTGCTTCTATTCTTTTCTCCATCATTTGTGTAAGGTTTTTGAATTCATATTATCTCTTCCCTACTTTTTTCTGATTAACAAATTGATGAAAAAAAAACCTGTACAGTACTGTACTGATTATGTAAAATACAGTAATGCAGTACAGTACAATATATAAATCATGAACAGATTGCAGCCAGGATAGATTCACTGTAGTGACAACAATAGAGGAGTAACATAGAGTGTCTGGTGAACAGATGGTCACTGGTAATGAGAGCTTGAGGCTAAATCCCATTATTCTCAGCCAGGTGTTATGTTTAGTATGGCATGACAAAGTAGGCTGTATAGTACTGTATGCTAATACTGTGGTTCACAGTCATATTTCCCGCCTCTGCTGACAGCCGTGTAATATTTCAATGTGATTCTGATCTTTTAAAATGTTAGTTTTTGCATAATATAATATTACTGATATGTAATTTGTCTGAGTATGTCTTATTGTAGGTAACAATAATATACTGTACATTAAATGCATCCTCCGAAAGCGTGAATTTGCTACTCGAGTTTATCAGTTAATTCACGTATAATACTTCTGATAAACTTCCTACGTGCTCCTGTTTGAAACAATGAAGGTACCGGGTATGTATCTTTATATAATTTAGTTAAATATCTTTCTCGTCAGAAACGATCATTATGAATACTGCACAGTACATCATTACTCAGGACAAAATTGGACAGGTTTCCAACAGCCAATCAGCTATAAATCTTGAGGAGGGGGCAGGGCATCTTTTCTCAGCTGGGAAAAAAACACGCTTTAGGCTACCTGAAAGGTGTGACCACTAGCCTTCAAGCACAGGCCAAGGACATAATTGATGCCAGCAAAAAAGTTAAATGTTTAAAAGCAGCACTATAAGACATCTGAAACAACATGATTGATCACTACACTGAATGGTTTGTCAGGCAAAACAACTGTGTGAGGCTGTAGGTGTCCCACCTTCCATGCCCAGACTCTACAAACGCCAAAGACACCAAGACAACACGTCATCTGATGGACCAGCTGAATACTAAAGGAGAACGGTGACCATTCCACTCCTTGGCCATCTCCTGGCAGAGCTGGAGATGAGGTTCAACCCCCTGCACCAGAAGGCCTTCCAGGGACTCAGTGTTATCCCATCCATCTTGGTAACCCTGACACCAGCAGAGGGCAGCAGAAGAACACAAGACCTGGTTGACCTCTATTGGGAGGACCTGCAGTATCAAGAGTGAGGTACACACCTGGCACGTCAGGAGGGAAAAAAGGCCAAGGAACAGGGCCCCACCAGCCTTCCAACTACACTGACCACCACCCTCTCCTAGACACCAAGTTCCATGTTCCCCAACGTGAGGGCCCTGCTCATTATTCTGCGCACCCTGCCAGTAACAACATGCTCTGCTGAAAGATCTTTCAGTGGACTGAAAAGAATAAAAACACCATTCAGATCAACAATGGGGAATGAGAGACTGATAGGCCTGACACTACTGCACATGCACCGAGATATACCAGTGGACATAAACCAAGTACAGTATTGTAATTGACACATTTACACATAGAAATCCCAGGAAGATGAAATTTGTAAATAAATTTGCTGAAAAGTAAAGATGTTCTGTCTGTGCAAATAAAATATTTTAAGAAATTTTTATGACCTCTATTATCTTTTGATATCAGTCAGTCTACATATAAACATAAGGATGGAAAATTTTAAAAATGTGTTACATAGTTAAGTACAGTACGGTATTTATGTGTATATTTAGCGCAATAAATAAAATAATGTAATTTTTTTCTTTTATCTATATATTATAACCATTGGGATGCAAAAATAATAAAAAATGTGTTATACAGTATGCATGTATTCGGCTCAATAAATTCATGTAAATTTTATGTTTGTACAAATTAAATATGCTCCTGAAACCCCTGTAGTAAGAAATGTTTCTCTATCGGTAGTGCTCTGTAGTTTACAATGTTGGCTCCTCACTTAGGTCAAATATTTGATATTTGGACACCCCTCCCCCCCACCCAATTTCTGGGTGCACCTGTGTAAGTTAGAAATATATGCTCTGTATGCCCGTATTCTTCAATAAGATATGTAAATACATTAATAATACTCCACTCCTGGGTATAGTGACACAGGGAATATATAAAAATAGTAATTTTGTTAACTGCAAAGGTGTATATCATTATCAAATGAAATTTTGCGGCACGAACTGGCATGTATAATGAGCCCGAGCTGAACCCTTGTGGCGTGCGCCACACCAGTCGGCAGGAAAGCTACTCGTACTGGGCGCCACTCAACATTTCAGGTAAACATTGTGTTTTTCCTAGGGTATTTGGGAGGTCATTGTGTTTGCTGATGTCTGGATATGCCTACGGGTAGACACTTGGTGTAAACTATAGAAAACAGCATCTGTTAACAAAGTTAACGAGTAAGTGTTGTAGTATGGTCAGTAAATTTGAGTTTAGGAACTTTGCAATCATACATTAATTTATCCCAGACTGTGGAATTCCATGATGCACTAGTCAAAGTTGCCTATATTGTACTACAAATGATCCTCAGACTTGCAGTGAAGCAGAATCCCTCTTCACAGAAATGAAGAAGTTAAAGTTCCTTGTTGCTCTCATATTTTGGTATGACATTTTGTTCCATGTAAATGCTGTCAACAAAGAACTACAAGGTGAATCCATAGGATTAGACAGTGCATTTCAAAGCTTAGAGAACACTTGCAAATGGTTAAAGGAATACTGACAGAAAGGCTTTTCAAAGTGCTGTAACAGCTGCTAGAGAAATAGCAAATGATCTAGTGATAGAGCCTGTTTTCAACGATGTTAGAATCCAGGGAAAGAAGAAAATGTTCTCCTATGAAGCGGATGATGAATCCGTTACAGATACACAAGAGTTTTTCGGTGTAAATTGCTTTCTTAAGATAATTTACATAGCTATTTCATATTTGGACAGTAGATTTAAGCAACTGAGAACACATTACAAGATTTTGGATTTATGTATAATTTTCATCAGTTATCAAAGTCTGAGATAAAAATTTGTGCCTAAAAGCTAGAAGACGTTCTCACATTTGACAAAGATTGTGATATTTATGGTCACATGCTCACAGAAGAGATAGAGACTTTGAAATCTGTCTTGTCAGTTTCAGTCATTGGAGACCCTCTCAAAATGTTGCAATTTCTCTGTTAATACACAATCAGCAGACTTTCCAAATTTTGGGATTGCTCTCAGGATCCTTCTCACTATCCCAGTGAACAGTTGCATCAGGTGAAAGAAGCTTTTCTCAGCTGAAATTGATAAAGACCTATCAGAGATCAACCATGTTGCATGAGCGCCTACACATGTACACTGTACTGTACTGAATTGTATATAGGGATATACAAAAACAAAAAAGATACAATTTTAGATTCGGTCATCCCTATATTTAGATATTTAATCTAAGCTAACCTAATCCAACCTAACCTAACCTAACCTCGCCATAGAACCCAGGAACTATATCTGACTTAACTGGACCCATGACCGAAATTAAAAAAACAAAAAATAGTACTGTACTTTACTTAATAGAATTTTCATCGGAAATTTATATATGTATTTTTTACTATTCAATTTAAATTAAAACATGCAATTTTGGTCACACAAAGTGGGAAGGGATTTGAAGAAGAGGGTTATTATAAGAGTGAGAGTTGTGATCTCTTGGAACAAGACCAGACTTGACAAGCACTGGAGCAGGTTCAGATACATTCAGGAGCCAGTGCATGCCCATTACTTGCCAACAGTGCGTAAGAGACGTGACCAATCGCCCAAGTAGCTAACGAGCCAATCAGTGGTGCAGAGGATAAAAATAAAAGTAAAAGTATAAAAACATGCCCCTCCCTCCACAAAAAAAAGCTGCCAAAACCAAACCTAACCTATTACAGAAAACTTTAAAGTTTAATAATATAGTATTTATGAACAATGTGCCTGGGTTAAGGAGCCAAGCTAGGAAACTTTTCAATGGAAGAAAAATTCTTCAGTTTATCAATAACATCCCAAAAATGTAGCAGGCATCAAGTTTTTGCAAACAAAAAGATAATAAAAAACTGAACCTAACAATTCTCAAATACTGTACTGTATCACTACTGTATCCATGTCTGACCTAACCAGAGGAACTAGGACCTGACCTAATCACCTATTCTGGGTGTGCCCCCCTGGACCCCCCGGTGTGTAAACCTAACATAACCTAACCCAACAAGACAAAAGAAGAAGCAAAGGAACCTAAAGAACCAAACCTCATATTGAAAAGTAAAAAAAAATATAAAAAAATATAAATTTCTGACGAAAATGCCATTGAATAAAGTATTCTTATATTTTGGGCACTATCTCCCGATACACAAATCCATCTAGAGTTCCATGGTTCACTTTTCTGAATCTTAACCTTACTTTATAGTGTGAAGATCTTTATTCATCCTGTAACCATTTCTGAGAAGGTATACAGTATACACAATTTATTTGCACTGCCCTTCCTTCAATACTACACGAAACAAAAGGATTACATCGCCAAGATACAACATTGACCTGTATTATTCAAAAGAAAATAGGCAAAACTGCAGTTTTGGACAAAATGCCCTAGTAGTTGAGTAATGTGTTTTTCCGATGATTTAGACAATTTTAAGACATTTTTCTTCTATGACGTCGTAGAAGAGAAGTGTTTTAAAATTGTCTAAAACATCTGAAAAACACATTACTTAACTCGAGATCCATATTGTCCGAAATGCAGTTATACCAGAAAATATCACACAATATCTGGAAAATGAATCTGATCTTACTATAATAGCACAATGCACTTATCATTACACCACTACTAACGGTACAGGTACCTGTATGCAATCATGTGATGCTGGGTGTGAACAGGAAATGCCCTGGTCATAGCAGACATCATTAGTTTTTGCCCTCCTGTACAGACTTTCGTGAACCTCCAGGTGCAGACCTCTCGGAGAAGAAATATCTGTGCCTGTACTGATCACACGTGGACCAAACTATGAGGACTAACGGGGTCCCACTAATTACCCAAATGCACCCGCAATGAAGTCAAATAATGGTCCTACATGAATAAATCGGGTTGCCAATCACTTCTCGACTAGTATTTGGTGTCACAAAGTAAAAAAAAAATTGGAAAACGTAATTTAATTTGAGTTAATAGATCGCATGCATGTACCGAGGGAGCGAGTAATTACCCAAATGTAGCCACAATGAAGTCAAATGATGGTCCTACATGAACAAATCGGACTGCCAATCACTTCTCGACTGGTATTTGGTGTCACGAAGTCACAAAAAATTGGTAAACTTAATTTAATCTGAGTTAATAGATCAAGTGCATGTACCTAACCTAACCTAACACAACTCAGATTAAATTAAGTTTACCAATTTTTTGTGACTTTATGACACCAAATAATAATCGAGAAGTGATTCACAGCCCGATTTATTCATGTATGACCATCATTTGACTTCATTGCGGCTACATTTTGCTACATTTGGGTAATTACTCGCTCCCTCGGTACAAGCACGCGATCTATTAACTCAGATTAAAGTAAGTTTTCCAATTTTTTGTGACTTTGTGACACCAAATACTAGTCGAGAAGTGATTAGCAGTCCGATTTATTCATGTAGGACCATTATTTGACTTCATTGCGGCTACATTTGGGTACATTTGGGTAATTAGTCGGACCGGGCCTAACGTGATACAGATTGATTTTCTGATATCATGGCACTGTACCAAATTGTACTATCCAGTAACAGAACTCTGGAAAGAAGGAAGGAAAATTCAGGACTGCAGCCTGAAGGTACAATTCTTCAAATTACACAGAATACTGGCGACAGGAACGTAAGATATATTCAAGAAGGCTGCAAAGACTATATTATAAAAGAGGTGTGCACAAGAATTCGGTCTCACATTGCACCGTGCATTAAACCATATTTATGAGTCGTGATATTTTAATGAAAAAACCTTATAATAATAACATAATGGTACCACTAAATTTAATCCATTTCCAAAACTGTGTGAAAAGTAATAAACTTACTATTTTGTGTAATATTCACTCACTGTCAAGAAGCACACACTAGTCTAGGAGCTGAGTCTGTGACTCTGAGCAGACTGAGCTCTAGGATTCAGGATCACACCCACCCCTTCCCAGAGCTGGCAGAAGGAAGAATGCCTATTGTCACTAGCTGAGAAACAGGTTACCACTAATGAGCATAATTTTCCTTTTTAGGGAGTTGTAAGGCTATGAGATCCACACCTTCACTCTTTAATATCACATTATAGTATATAATAAATCTTAAAAGGTTTATTGTAAATAAAATCCCATCAAATAAATCTTAAAATAAGGCAGAACCGGACACTCATCTTTCTAATACTGTACTGTAATTTGAATTTTTTTAAATCATTCAGTAACTCAAAAATAAAATTTTACTACAAAAGTTAACTAAAAAAAATCTTTGACCTCAATAAGAGAAAGAAAAAAAATCTTCCTGCAGAAGGCAATATCACTCCAGAACAGCCACCTATGAATTTCCCACCGAGCACAATTGGGGGAAATGACCAGTGTTCCCACAAAATATTATCGTCAAGGAGCAACACTCTACTTTTAACTAATATCTATATCTAAAATAAAATACAAATACTTTCCACGTGCACTAGGCTAAACGAATACTACACGTGATGTTATTAACGTACAGCTGAAAGTGGACGAAAACCAGAGAAATCAACCGAAACTTATTTCACTCGAGCATGAGTAATGTAGACTTACCCAACCATTTCCTTAGGTAAAAATGCAACTACACCCTTTTAAAAACTACGCGTTAGACTCTTATTTTCTACGTGAACAATAATCATTCGTCTTTGTGGTAATGAAATAATATAACTCTGCTCTCACCAATATTGTTTATCCCCACACTCAGCTGAGCGAAGAAAACAAACAACCTGCCAGTGCCATGTTGCCCGCCCTCAAAGTGATCGTACTACGTTGTCCATTGAATTGTCGTACATCCCTCGTGCTATACAAGCTTATTAATGTGCAATATTATAATTACACGCACACACACATACAAACGCAAACACATTGAGACCTTACATTTGAGCTAATTTACTCAAAATAACAGAAAGAAAATTGAGATAATTCCCTAAAATACAAGACTTCAATGTTATGGGATCCATATCTGATATCAGTGATGCCTCATATTTTGATGTACTGTCAGCATTGAGGATTTTTTTTTTTTACATTATTTATAAGGACGAAAGTTTAGGCGTCGTTTTAGACCAAACAGTGAAGGGCAGTAGGTCTTATAAGAAGGTCGTTTAGATATGGTCCGTCGCTCGTCACAATCTTCAAGAGTGAGGTGCATCTCCGATTGAAGTAGTGTCACCCTGTCTGGTCCCCGAGATATGCTTGAGACTGTCAAATTGATTGAAAATGTCAAAAGGAAGGCCACCAGACTGTGCCTGCTCTATAGGACCTCAGCTACCCAGAAAGATTAGAAAACCCGCAACGGGCAAGGGCAACCTAATCTGAGTATATAAACATCTCAGAGGGCACTACTCGATCGAATGTACGGTACATACATGGAGCTGCCGGTCGCCCGCCCCACTAGGGGTCACAGCTCAAGGTTGAAGAAGCCACAAGTCCAGAAAAAAGTGAGGGCAACAGGGGAACTGGTGGTAGAAGCGGTACCGTTCTTGCCTCGTAAGCGAGATGTCATGGGTTCGATTCCCGGGCCGGTGGAAGTTGTTTGGACTTACTTCCTAGCCCCCATTAGTCCCTGTTCACCTAGCACCTAGGTACCTGTTGTAAGTCGAAAGTTGCGAATTCGTATTCAGGGAAAGTTGGAGCTTCCAATAACTTGACATAAACCACTGACTCATCAGGCTTCTACGCCCTTCACTCATGAGACATAAAAGGCAAGCATGAACTTAGCATGCTTCCCTGTTGGGCGCTGTAAATGCTTCTGCTCTTCACCTTACACAAGGATATAGGGGAGTGCCCAATAAATAATAATAATAAAAAGTGAGGGCAACCTTTTTCGGAATGAGAACTATGAATCTTGAAACAATCTGCCAAAACCCCCCAGCTGGGTGGGCTCGCTTTGCTCGCCATGTTCCCCCACTCAAAACTTCTTGGACCCCCCTCTTTTAATTTTCCAGGTTCTGCCCCTGGCAAATGTAACAAAAGCTAACCGAAATTTTGGAAATATAAGTTAAGTTGTACAGTCTCACCCAAAAGTTCGTTAACTCTCCCAGCCAGCTATTGCTGAACTGCCTGCTTCAGATGTTTGAAACTGTCTCAGTACCAACCAGAACATGAAACCGATACGATTGAATCTAAATGTTCGGAGTAACAGACTCAAGTTCATACATCTGAAGCAGGCAGTGCAGCATTAGCTGGCTGGGGGAGTTAACGAACTTTGTACAAAGGTAAGACATTGTTCCTTCAATTCTATTAGTCTCTCGTATGTCCCCCTCTGAACTACCGTATATGGTACACTGTATACCTTACTGTACACTGCATACCTTACTATACATTGCATACCTTACTGTACACTGTATACCTTACCTCCAAAAACACATATCCTCATAAAACTTTTACTTATATCCTATTAGCCACTGATGGGCTCGTTAGCCGATCATCTGGATAATAACCAAAGTAGACTGACAAGTCTCTCTGGAACGTTAAAACTATTGAAAGAGATGGAAAACGTAAAGACAGGCCAATTTCTTTTATGATGTAACGCGAGGACTCAAGGGAATACAACTTGAATCAAACTCGCCAAAGTAGGACACTGATGAAAGAAACCAACAGATTACCTGAATACTAGCTATTAGCCGTGACCTTAGTTCATCTGATGATTGAACACCCTAACGCAAAATAGGGCGTAAAGGTAGGTTAGATACGTTCAACGTTAGTGTGGTTAAGCCTAAGGTGAAATAAGGTGGATCTAATCTTCATGTGATCCAAACCAGTTAAAAAGTGGATTGGTATGTGTGTGATGGTATGAACCAGTTAATGAGTGGATTGGTGAGTGTGTGTGTGTGTGTGTGTGTGTGATGGTATGAACCAGTTAATGAGTGGATTGTGTGTGTGTGTGTGTGTGTCTGTGATGGTATAAATCAGTTAATGAGTGGATTGGTGTGTGTGTGTGTGTGTGTGTGTGTGTGTGTGTGTGATGTGTATGTGTGTGTGTGTGTGTGTGTGTGTGTGTGGCTGTGATGGTATAAATCAGTTAATGAATGGATTGGAATGTGTGATAATGATGATATTGTTACGACCTTCCTTTCACCGCTTACCCAGTTTTCACCACTGGTTACCAGCTACCAGGTCGTATGTACAGTTGCCAGCAAAAGTCCTCCCACAATTTGCCACACAGGGCTGTGGGAGAAATTTTGCTGGCAACTGTACAGAAGCAATAGATATCTCACAAGTGTCGTCGAATTACCCCTGGCTGTCCCGCCAGTCTCCAGTAATTTCCCGACGATCGGTATCAGTGTACAGACAAACAAGAGGCAGGTAGATTTCCACCAGGTAACATTAACACACTTGTGCACTTTAGTCGTCTTTAATAGTCATTAATTCTTCACAATATTGTTCACAGGGTAATGACTTCACAGCTGGACTTCTCACTTCGAATATATAGTCAACACACTACCAGTGAACAATTCCTTAACCTTTTCACTTTATATTGATGACAATAATTCCACAATATTTGCACAACAAATATCTTCAGTTGTCTTAGTAGGCTTGTTGTACTTTACACTCTGAGCAGCGTTCGCTGGTGTTTATATACGTCTCGTCAGACGCTTGGGAGGTTCTATAACAGTGGTTCTCAACCTTGTTTGCCCCATGCACCCCTTGCACCATATGTCAGAATGTCATTCCCCCCTCCTTTCCAAGATTGTCTGCCTCAAAAAGTGCATTCCAAATAATATGCATATAATACTGAAAATCCTTTATTTTTTCCATATTAGTATCAGTTTCCCCCCCCCCTGAAAACCTGAGG